CTATAAATATTTTTAAAGTTTTCATTTGTAAATGATATGTTACATAGGAATACACATATGATGCCATTGAGGTATTACAAACATATGTACAGTACAGTAAGCACTGCATACTTTAATTAAAAACAAATGTTTTGCCCAAGCGGATAGTAAATTGAACTCTGGAAGAGAAACAAGTACAGTAGTTTGCTCTACTATTTACTTTGTTAAACAATGAATGAAACAGCAAAGCTCTGAACAGTAAAGACCCAGAGAGTACTCTATTGAAATGGCTATTCTTTTAACAATAATGTCTTTATTATTCTCCCTGTGTCTCATATACCCTTCTTCGTGCACCATCAGTTCCCTATATCCCATTCTTGTAGTACTATAACAAGGTGTAATACCGCAGCCCAACAGTAACTGCTGTGAAACAGATCAATTGAGCAGCCCAAATGAAAAAGTATTTTATTCCAAAATAGTTTTCAAGGTGATATCAGTGCTCTTGGTTGTGCCATGGATAATTTCATTGTATGCTCAAATGCCAGACAGCTGCCATGTTCTAAATTGTGATGGGTTTAATGACAGCATCCATAGTTCAATTGGCACAATCAAGAAAAGAGTAAAACAGAGGAGCTCTGGAAATTAGTTTAACATATTGAATAATTCAAGGCAATTTCTGGGGTTTACAGCAGTTTGTCCAAAAATTGATTTTGCCTGATGTTTTTTGGTAAATGGACATTTAAAATGTAGTCCGAAAGCTATTTGGAGCCTTCTCTGTGGAAATCGGCACAACATGCAATGAAATTTGTCTAAAGTTGGAGAAGAGATAGAATTTATCAAGCATAAAGGCACTTAATTGCCAGAAAACAGCCACTGTGGTGTGTGAGTGCAGGTAGTTACAGTAAATAACAGAATATTATTCTTTTTCTGTCATTAAGTTAACAAAAAGAAAGCTTTTTTAACAGACATTTAAAGCTTAACTTTACTAATGTACATTTTGTAAGTTTAAAAAATATTTGCTGAGAAGGTATACAGCAGCAATATTAATCAATAATTATGTGTAATTATTTGAAAAATCAAGAACTGTCAGCTAACAGTGGTGGTTATGTGAAAACACTAACATATAAAATACATGTGATATTAAATGAGGTGATACGTCACAGCAATAGCAGCACCACAGGCACTATTACACAGCCACAGCATCACCACAGACACTAATTCACAGTGACAGCATTGCCATGACACTTTTTTACAGCCACAGTATCACCACAGACACTAATTTACAGTGTCAGTATTGGCATGACCATTATTTTAAAGCCACACCATCACCACAGACACTATTTCACAGCGGCAGCATTGCCATGGACAGAGTTTCACAGCCACAGCACCACCTTAGACATGATTTCACAGACACAGTATTACCATAGACAGTAATTCACAAGAACAGCATTACCATGGAAACTATATCAAAACCACAGCATCACCACTGACACTAATTCACAGCAACAGCATTGCCATGGACATTTCTTTACACATGTCTGGAATCATTATTTGTAACTAACAAACAAAATATTCAAATGTACTGACAACATTACAAAGCCCATATTGATCTTGAATTACTTTGGAAAAAAAGTGTCAGGTGTTTGTCTAGATCTTAAAACTATTAGGATTCTTTTTTTCACATGTGATTTAAAAAAATCACCTTTGACTACAGTCAGTGTGATTTGTGTTTGGACAGAACTCAACAGACCTCCAATTTATGGACAAATAAGGCTCATGTGAACATGTTTCTGGAGGCTGTGTGCTGGCTTGCTAGCACTGGGCTACTGCAGGTTTTGTATGGACTGAACATGCCTGTGATGCCTGATTTACAGTATAACTGCATGGGGTTTATGTGTGCTTCCAGGATGTATCCGGAATCAAATCCTTTCTCATGCTGAAGTTTTCTGTTTAAATCTTTGTATGATTCATCATATATCTTTAGACAAATGCTGATACAGTAGCTGCAAATCAATTTAATAAACAAAGGGAACAAGAATCTAATTTGTTCATTAATATTTGAAAGATACCATCATGAGGCTTTCCTTGTGCAGTGCTTTGGAATTATCTGCTCCATAGGGTCCAGCTGTGAAATGATCATTTATGTAAAATGAGCTCCTGTTGATTCAGATAAACTGAAAAAGGCCATGTCATTTAATATTAAAAAGCCCACTGTGCCATAATAATCTTGCAGTAAATAGACAAACTAATGCGGAAAAAGAAATGAAGAAATATGAACCTGTTCAGAAGCTGTTACTAGTCAAATTGTGTCATGACAGACTGGAGATATGAAAAAGATACTGTATGTTCTTGTCTTTATAGCTGTCTTGATGACTCTCAGTACTTAGCTACTTCAGATATACTGTATGCCTTCAGACAGATTCATTCATCATTCACCCATTCGTTATCTAAAAGCTGTGTATGCCTGTTAAGGATCAACGCAAAATGGAACAACGGGTAGGAGAACTATACACAGGAGAGGATGCCAATCCATAGCAGGGTATGCATATGTGCACAATTTAGAGACAATTGACAATAAATAAACAACCTGAATCAGACAGAGGAGGAGGTAGGGAAGCAGAGAACCTGCAGAAGGTGTGGATAGCATGAAAACTCCACACAGGACTGGGGTCAGGATGGATACCGGCACCTAAGAGCTGTGAGGCAGTAGCACTGACTTCTGCTGACTAAAAATCCCCCTGGACAGATTCAAGAGTGCATTTATTAATCATTTTCTAAAACTGAGCTCCAGGAGATCTAGATGTGTACAACAAACACAACACAACCTATAGTACCTTCTATTACACAGCTCTGAGTTACTTTAGGGACCAGAATGACTTAAACTGAGTAAGTCTCATGGTATTTCCCCAATCATACTTAAGCCTTAACCAAAGGAGGGGTTTTAGAGTGTTTAAATAGTCATTAGGGATGGGAGTTGTGCCCACAGACAGGAGAATTTTGGAGAGCTGTGGATTTTTTTATTATTTTTTATAAGGGCTAAACTAGAATACTATTTCCTAAATAATGGCATTTGAAGCGATAACCATCATGGAGTTTAAAAGGGAAGGTCTTGCTACATTAATTGTGATGTCCTAGAACAAACAACAAGAAAAGTTGATACCGTTAAAGAATATGCATGATACAAAACGATTTTAAATAATGATACAGTGGAATTTTGTGATGTTATTTTGTTTTTGTCTTCAGATTCTGTGCCCGTTTCTGGCTGGTTCAAAATTGCTTAAATTTTTTTACATAATTTGGTCTGGGACCAGAGCGAATGAGTTGGACATTAATTTTGTTTAGCCATATGTGCCTGTTGGTGTACTGTATATGCTGTATTAATTAATATTATGTTCCAGTGATTTATAATTATTGAAATAATGAATGCTATTTATTTCAGAATTAATCAAATAAGGATGGCACTGGACCAATTAGTAAGTGTTATGCACATCCCAGAAAGCAAGCAGAAAGCAGCGAATATCTGCTAATTCAATAAGTTTAAAAGGGCTCTAAAACATTTGTAATATATAACAGTGAGAAATAACTTATGGTAGCCATAAAGGTCAAATATAAAGGTGAAGGAATGTAAGAGGACCAAAAACTGATAAAATGTGGTCACACATTTTATTAAAAGCCCTATTTCAGAACCTGGAGTATGAATGCTTTGTTTTTCGTGAGTGAGGTGTAATACAATCCACATCTTTTCTTTTCACATTGGCATAGTAATCTGGTCGCTTTCTTCTGGGTGTCTTGAGGCCTTTCTTATGTTTTAGTGTGTCATATTTATGTCCCTTTGATCTTTCAGTTGTGATGGTGTGGGTGAGTGATTGCATTAGGTCCAATTGCCTTTCTTCCTTCTGATACTGATTTTGGGAGGATTTTGTTTGCTCTCTAACCCAAATTTTGACATTGCTGTGCGTGAATCACGGCTAAACATACAGTACCTCTAGGAAACTGTGATTACATCAATATGCCCATAAAAACACAAGTGATTCATCCTGTGTCGGGAACTGAAATCCAAACAAAGAGTGGCAGTCCATTTGACTCTGTATTCGTCCTGACTAGATTAACTTGGAGGCAGTGTGAAGGCTAACAAAAATGGTCACAAAAATATAACCTCAGCTTTGAATTTATTTTTCTGATTTTGTTCGACATTGAAGAAGAAAGGAAAGTGCAAATATTATCAGCCTCATAAAGTAGCATGATTTTCTCAAAGCTATATCCATAATCATTTTTTTAATGCCGTAATTCACATTGCTTTACGATTGCAGCCCATTGGTGGATGAGGAGAGTTGAAATTCTGGTAGGTGTATTGCAGTCTCACCTTGCCACCGACTCATGAACACAGCTGTGTGTGATCCTACGCTTTGCCCTGTGGCCTTAATAATTAATGGAGCTTCAAATAAAACTTCTGGAGGAGGTCAATCCCTAATCTCACCCACCTCCGCCTACCTACAGTACATACTATATAAACATCAAGATTCAAGATTCAAGATTTCTTTATTTGCCATATTCAATAAGTATATTGGAATACTTACTCGTTCAGCTGTACCCAGTAACAGTAGAGAAAAAAAATAGGCACAAATGACAAACAGACATGGACAATAAATTTAGACAATAGACGTTATAATACAGCCAAGACAGGACATAGTGCAAATAGTGCAGTACCTTAAAGTGCAGGTGCTAATTTGAGCTGTTTAAGATGCGGACTGCTTGGGGGAAGAAACTGTTTTTGAATCTATTGGTCAGTGTTCTGATACTGTGATACTTCCTACCAGAACTCAGGGGTGAAAACAGATCGTGGCCAGGGTGAATTGGGTCCCAAAGTACAGCTCGAGCCCGGTTGTGGTTGTGGTTGTGGTTGTGTATCCTGGGCACGAAAGTATAGTTTTCTCGTCTGCATTACTGCTTTTTCTTACATTATGCCCTGTTATGCCTAATTGACACTGTACAGTAAACTCTTGTCATATCTTGTTTTTCAGGGCAGGGGAGGTCATGCCGTTTGGCTGTCTGACACTAGGGGAGAAGAAGGATTATAACAATCCCTCAGAGGTGACTGACAAATATGACTTGGGTCAGATTGTTAAAACGTGAGTACCCGGGGTGCCAATTTTTGTGATTTGTTGGAACTTTACGGAGAAGTAAAAAGCATACATACTTCTCCACTATGTGAAAGCCTCTTCACCATTATGTAATTTTACTTTCGTAAAATAATATAATAAAAAGAAGGATAGTACGTCTTTTATAAGAACTCTACAGTGATTGCTGTTGCCTTACTTGTTCGTCTAATATTACATGTGTGTTTGCTCTCTGTTTGAAGGGAGGAGTTCTGTGAAATTTTTCGGGCCAAGGACAAGGCCACGCTGAAAATGTACACCTGTAAGAAATTCCTGAAAAAAGATGGGAGGAAAGTTCGGAAAGCTGCCAAAAATGAGATCCAAATTTTAAAGATGTGAGTGTCTTTTTCCTTTAAAGAGAGGTTTTTGTAAGTGGTAACAAACCATAAACATATTAGTCCATACAGTATGTCCAGTTTAATCCTGGATAACCATTTGAAGATTAATCATCCAGATAATATTGTCTACCATCTCTGTACCCTTGGTTCTCAAGCACACAGTTCACTTGTTTTGCTAACTTTGTTGCTGTGCACTCTTTTAAGATCATTTAAAAAGTGTTTCTTTCACAATTCACATTCATAATCTCATGTTTTGCTTTTTGTTTCTTGAATTATTTATTCATTGGAAAGGAGGTTCAATTACAAGAGTTCGGCTTTTATTAGGTACGGTATTCATTGGCTGCTTCTCCTTAATTATTTTTACTGTCAACATCTTGGGTGTTCTTCTCAATGAATTAAAGTGAAAGCATTTTCAAAACGTATAACACTTTTCTTAGTTTCTTGCTAAATCAAGCAAAATCATTCAAAGCCTGAAAGACTGCATTCAAGAAATGAAATCTGTCCCCAAATACAATGTGTCTAACACCCTAAATCGATCATTCCAAACACCAAGTTTTCCCAAAATGTTGTGGGTGTGTGGACCAAACTCCCCAGTGATTTGTGAGTCTTGTTGTCCGATCTACCCGGATTACATCACAGGGATGCCTGGTTCTTATTTGATTGGTAAATACTGTATGTAGTCTGTAATTTAATAGAGGAAGCTGATTGTGACAAATTTATATTGTGTTGCCTTGAGACAGCAGTGTTCAGCATTCACAGTAAAATTTAGACTAACCACTTATCAACCGAAATCCTTCAGCATATGTCATAATACAACAATGGCAGCTGCAATACGATTAAGAGTACCAATTCGAGATTTTTCACATTTACAGGGTCCAAAAGACCCTAGAAGTAAGAAAGTAGAGTCAATTATGCTAAAACGTTTAGATTAAAACTGCAGTTATCTTTTGTACTCACTGAGGTGCAATAAAAAGAAACTTCTAGGCATCTACTGTACTGTATAATCTTTCAACTATTGCTAGTTTAAAGTTGGACTTGCATGTGACCAGGAACTGCAGAACACGAGAATACTAACACCTTGACTTTTTCAATAGGAAATTTTGACAGTTTTCTTTTCCAATTAATGGTGACATCATTACAAAAAAAACACAATTGATGTATTACACATAGCATGATGTAATATGAAGGAGCTTGCATTCCTAAGTACTGTATATAAGTATTCATAAGTAAGGTAAATACTCATGTACTGTAGGTTTCATGGACTTTTACTTGCATAATTTTATAAAATTTTGCTCTGTGGTTGATAGTTTTAAATATACAGTATACTGTAGGTTGTGGTTTTTAAAAACATGCAATTGCTCAATTATGATATTATATAATAAATTATATTAAATATTTTTTAACAAGCCATAATAATACTAAATCAAACTTTTACATTTTCTAATAGCATGATTGAGCTCAAACTAGTTACAAAATATGTTTCAGTCTGAAACAAAAAGAAGCTCTCTGAAGTGTTTTTGACACAAAATACAAAATTATCACAATTAAACTAAAAAATATTTTTAAAATATAATTTCTGATATCGCCCTTAAGAAGGCTAGAATGCAAGAGCAATGTGGGTATTTTTTTCTGAAGAATTGTCTTTGTTTTTCTGACAAATTTTCTACTTGTATGTGTACTAGTATACAAGTTAACTGATATATCACTGTTTCAGAGCTTGTCTTCCCTTTTGGTTATATTGCATTAGCAGGTTGAAATTTACAACAGAATTTGTTACTGGCAGGAGACCACACAAACACAGAAAACTAAAATATCTGAAGACTGCCACTGTTCATTTGCATGGCTTTTTCTCTCTGTACTGGGAACAAAATGTGATTTACCTCCTTTCCTGAATAAATAAAATGCATATGACACCACACTATACAGTACTTATTACTTACAATGTGTTTTCAAATAATGTTTTTTTTCCTCCTATTGTGTTTCATAATTATTTCAGTGCAGTTATTTCTCATGTTGTTTGCTTTATGTCTTAAAAGAGGATGTTTTGTAAAACTAAAAAAAAACCACAATGTTTCACAATGTGTGTTGTCTTTGATTTTGTCTTTCTACCAGAGCACACAGGTGGCTAAGTCAATATTTTTAAGCAATGTAAATAAATATTTGGAAATGTTTGTGAACTGAAAAACATTATTTTCAGTTTCTCGGTTTTGATTTGTCCCACTATATATATTTATATACTTACATTTGTTTTGGTTCTACACATTATAAAACAGTTTCTCCTGCCTGGAAGAAATCTGTAGATGTACTACGTCTCTCTGCTACTCTAACTTCCTTTCTCCTTTCCCACTTCTCAGGGTGAAGCACCCAAACATTCTCCAGCTGGTAGATGTTTTTGAGACCAAAAAGGAGTATTTCCTGTTTCTTGAACTGTGAGTCAACATCTCAGTCTGGTATTGTAGACCAGATTAAACTAGAAGGAGGTGGTACAGTACTTGCATTATAAAATCAGAATTCATGGTGAATGAGCAACTGTGTCTGAAGGCTGCCTGACAAACATACTCTCACTCTCTTTGTTTTGGCAGACGCTTTCTAAGCCTTTTGTGGTCTGAAATGATATATACAGTACAGGGAGTTGTTCTGCACTGATATCCTGATGCTCTGTCTGAGAGTTGCTGTACATCTCAGCATTCTTGACTTGTTATTTTATTCATCAAGATGAACCATTTTCTCTTCAGTTCTGTTTTATTCACAAAATTCACATAATACCTCTGATGACTGTACTTGTATCTGTATCTGTCAAATTATAGGTCCATGACTTTGTTTTTTAGGCTAGGATGGAAATATTACCGTGATTAATTTACAGACTTGTGATGCCATCCCTGTATCTTTACCATAGTTACTCTTTTTTTTAACATCACAGACCTTCCCTCCCCCAGATCTGCCACATCTCAGTTAAAAACAACACCTATGAGATCTCACGGAAATTGATATTTATTTATTGCTGTAAAGGAGTCACAGTGACTCCTTCTTCAAATCACTGCACATCTTTTAATACTGAAAGACCATATGGACCAGGAACCACACTCTTGAATCAGAGCCATTTTCCCCCAGCAGTGTAACTGACTACCTTCAGTCTCTAGACAACTTTCGGGATAGATCTATAGTGTCTGCCTTGAAGCCAGACACCTGGATTCTTGCGAAGAAAGCCCTCAGGGAGACCCAGTTGTAAAATAAAAACAATGATTAAGGGAAGGGTACCCATCTTTTAAATTATTTTAAAAACGAGTCTGATAATGCACCTCTTGATTAGTTTTGATGAAATGATGTGTTATATTATGAATACAGTCATGTAGAGATACTCACCATCTGAAAATAATAAGGAGGTGTGAATTTCATATATTTGAGTTTTACCATATCTGCGGGAACAACTCTTGTTTTCACCCACAATTACCTTTAATGTTGTCTGGTCAGTGAAACCAAGCCAGATACATTTTGACAGTCTGACCGTGAATTATCATAAAACTACTATAAATTAGTCAGCAGAAAGCAAATTCTCTGAGTGCAGAATTCAACAGGAGATAGGGTCCACTCATATACATGAGTGGATATTTGGCTGATCAGTCACTCTGATGTTCTACATGTGTAAAATACAGTCAAAGCTCCTAATCTGAGCACTCTGGAAATAAAGGTATTATAGTCACCAAAAAGTGACTTTGACAATAGCACTTTTCTTCCTATACAGTGCCACAGGCCGGGAGGTATTTGACTGGATCCTTGACCAGGGCTACTACTCAGAGCGTGACACCAGCAATGTCATCCGTCAAGTGATGGAAGCAGTGGCTTATCTGCACTCCCTGCGCATAGTGCACAGGAACCTCAAGGTATGGTGCCCTCTGCTGGGGAGATTAGGTACTGCACCAAGCAAAAATCGGGCTGACATCCATCATCACTGCTTGCACAGAGGCTTTATCCGTTCCTGCCAAGTTATAAATATGCACTTCACAGCATTGAAGCTCTGCTTGACACTGGGATAGAGAAACTGGAGCAAATCAATTAGACTAAAACAAACTGTATCATGGTGAATGGTCTCCCTCCTAATACATGTAATGTTAAATTGGATCCTTTGGAATTAAAAGCACAATATACAGTAAATGCAAACTATTATTAATGGTACAAGTTAGCACCACAGGAGAGAAAAACAAGGTAAGCTTTTTTTTATAATGAATCTTAAAAACCCTGAGGGAAAAAATGCAATTATAAAATCTGTAGATCACTAAAATATCTGTATTGCCTTGTATTTTTGAGCAGTCATCTTGAAATTGATGTCCAAAGTGTCAAAATACCCTTTCCTAGCTTTTTCTTTTTTAAAAAAGGGTGATAATTACTGGAAATGTCATTTCAGCTTGAGAACCTGGTTTACTACAACCGCCTGAAAAATTCCAAAATTGTCATTAGTGATTTCCACCTGGCCAAGCTGGAGAACGGGCTCATTAAGGATCCCTGTGGGACTCCGGAGTACTTGGGTGAGTCTGGTGGGAGAAAAGGGCTGGTGAGCTACAGAGAGTTCTGGTGTTTTTTAGCTATCAGGTTCTTCAAGTTCTCAAGGAAACAGCATTCTTGTGATGAACCTGCACTGAAGTACAGTATGTAGCCTTCTCAGGGTCCTCTTTAAACTTTTATGTTGATAGTGAGCCTGATCACAGAGAAAAACTCATCACATCTGCTGTATTGCAGAATAAATGTCTTCAATACTTTATAGATATTTACAGACTGCACAGTGTGGTACAATATGACATATACACTGCCATGTGACAACACATGCACTTTAACATGCACTTTACTAAAATAATAATCCACAAATGAAAATGTACTCCAGAGAGAACTGTTTGTCTCTGTATACTCACCAACATTACAAAGCAGGAAAACCATCACTGATAAGAAGCTAAACAGAATGAGCAGGAAGGAAGACTCAGCTGAAACATGAGAGTATAGAGAATCTTTCACAATATGATGATGTTGAGTAAACTAAAACATATACTGATGGAAAAAAGAAACGCAACATTTTCTGGAATGAGAATACTATTGTTGCAGCTTAGGCACTTTCACAAAAAGTTGTCAATTTGTTTTAAGCCCTCTGACCAGCAATACAGCTTGTGCAGTGAGGCATTACAACTTGCAAATCACACGAAAGCTCGTTAGGTCCACTTTTACCTAACTAGGTCCATGTGGAACAATGCCTGATCAGGTCACCTTTAAAAAGGCCTTAATTCAAAGCTTAGGCCACAACAAGAAAAAGGCAACACAGTCAGATTTCTGTGCATTCCGTAATGCCTCGAATGTCACCAGAAGCAAGGGAGAGGGCCATTGGCAGAAGGCAGGTATGTCATGTGCCAGTGTTGCCAGACACTATGGAGTAAGCCGCTCCACTGTGTCCCAACTGCGGAGAAGGTCTCAGCAGACCTGCAGGGCAGATGACCGTTCAAGATCCGGTCACCCTCGAGTGACCACACCAGAGCAGGACCAACACATCAGACTGGTCCATCTGAGAGATTGTTTCAGATCTGCCACCCTTACTGCTGCTGAAACTGCTGGCAGACACAATGCCCCCATCACTGAGAGGACAGTGAGGCTCCATGCTGCTTGCCTTAGAGCAAGGCAACCTGTCAGAGGCCCTCTGCTCACACCTCCTAGACGTCACACCCAACTGCCTTGGGCCAGACAGAGGCTGTGATGGACTCGTCAGCAGTGGCATGAGGTCCTCTTCATGGATGAGTCACCCTTCAGCCTGTTTCACACAGACGGGAGGGCCAGAGTGTTGAGGAGGAGGTGTTGCATTTCTTTTTTCCATCAGTATATATTTATGAAGCAGTGATAAGTACTAGTAGTTAGAAAACAGAGTTAAACAGATAAATCATGTTACTTAGTCTAAGACTAGGACTATCAGCATTCTTGACAATGTGTCTGAGTGCTGAAGAATATTTTGAGCAGACATTTATTCAAAAATAGCATGCATTTAAAAACAGAAACTCTCACCTGTCCATTCTCTACCCAAAGACTAATGAATAACATTGCAGAAGCAAGACTTAAAGATCTCCTTAACCTTCATGAATACCAGGAATTTTCTCCACCTGATTGTAAGGTGTCTCCATGATATAAGTATGTGACATACTATCCAGAAAAAACAAAATCTAACAAAGCACAATCATTAGTGCATAATAGAATAGCTACAAGCATAGCCAACAGTAAGGTCAAGGTGTACAGTACATCATCCTTCTTGTTTTGTCCCTTCATAACAACAGTGTATCAAATCAGACAAACTGTAGCAGAAATCCTCTGGAGATAAGACTCACCAGCTTCTTGTCGGTAAACCGCAAATAATCAGCTGGACAGGTGCTTCATTAATGGCAAAAGAGATGGACATCAGTGTGCATCAGGTCAGGGCTGGGAGGTGGTGTGGTGTGGTCTGGTGTGGTCCCACCCATAACACTCACAGATGCAGCTGGTGTACTTTTTAACAAATGACCTTCTATCACCAGGCCTGACCCAACAGCACTGCTTAGTGTTTTACCAGTTTTGCACAAGATGTCATTATGTGACATTACTGTGTGCCTTTGATACAGTCCTGTGAGCTCTGTTATAATTCATTACTTATTCAAATCAATTTCAGGAAGAAAATCTTCTGTTTTTTGCTGGTGCTTTGTGCACACACAGTCTTCTTTGACTAGAAACTTGCCAGTTTAGCTTGACAGAGGTTTAGATGAGATAAAATCATTTTATTGGCCCTATACAATTTCTTGCATTAGGAATTTGTTTTTTTTGCATACCCCAGCTTGCTCTCCATGAGACACACAGACAGGGAGAGAGAAGCCTGGGGTCAGAACACAGGGTCAGCTATTGTACAGCACCCCTGGAGCAGTAGGGGTTAAGGGCCTTGCTTAAAGTAGGATCCCACCAAAGTAGGATTCCCCTACCAGCTGTGGGATTTGAACCAGCAACCTTCTAGCCACAGAGCCACCGCTCCACCAAGGTTTACTTGGATATATATATAAGGCACCCTTATCGATGAACCCACACACTAATGTATTAAGAGGATTTTCTCACTACTAATCAGAATCTAATTTTATGTATTATCAATCTCACAAGGTGTTGCTGAGATATCAGACCGAAGTTTATGTTGTATCTTGAAACAGTCCTTTTCTCATTTAAACAGGTTTCTCCTCACCTGTACTGTGATAATCACAGGCTGTTCAAGAGTGCACTCCCTAAATAAATTAAAACAAAACAGAAGAGCAGGCATCAATGGTTTTAAATTGCTACTTATAATTATTTGGCTCTCTGCACAGCTCCAGAGGTGGTTGGCAGACAGAGGTATGGAAGACCAGTCGATTGCTGGGCCATTGGAGTCATTATGTATATATTGTAAGTATTTCATTGTTAATGAGATTAGGAGGATGTCTATTTCCTTGGCACATGGTTGTAGCATTGTGTTTATATTGTATTATTTATTATTATTTACATTATATTATTATTATATAATTATTTATTATTATTTATATTGTATTATTTATATTTATATTATATTTATTTCTACAATATGTGTTCTATTATAACATCCACTAAATCCTTTAAATGAAAATTAATTATGTTAATTCCTCCTCCTAATTTTGTATAATATTTATTTTATTGGGAAATCCATTGTGGACAAGGGCATAAAGGTACCATAAGACTGTTCCTTAGAAATAAATATGGCTGGGATTTTTTGACTGGGTGAAATGAGCTCCTGTGGAACACGACAGACTCCACCGCAATACAGAAGGATGTCAACATTCCCTGCCTTGAATCTTCGTAAATAGCCACATTCTATATAACCTAGTCCACCCCATACTGTAATGTACTAGAGTATATAGTATGTACAGTATGGTTAAAAGGCGCCAGCAGCCATATCACCCTGCAACTCACAACTGGCAACCCACTGAAGCTAAGCAGGTTTGAGCCTGGTCAGTACCTGGATGGGAGACCTCCTGGGAAAAACTAAGGTTGCTGCTGGAAGAGGTGTTAGTGGGGCCAGCAGGGGGCACTCACCCTGCAGTCCTTGTGAGTCCTAATGCCCCAGTATAGTGATGGGGACACTATACTGTAAACAGGCGCTGTCCTTCATCTGAGATGTAAAACTGAGGTCCTGACTCTCTGTGGTCATTAAAAATCCCAGGGTGTTTCTCGAAAAGAGTAGGGGTGTAACCCTGGCGTCCTGGCCAAATATCCCATTCCTCCAAATAATCCCCCTCTGTGAATTGGCTACATTACTTTGTTCTCCTCCCCCCCCTCCCACTCTGACGGCAGGCGGAGCGACACGCCAGTTGGAGTATTTCTCGGTCGCAGTTAATGGTAACGTCAGCTCAAAGATTTTTGGAGACTGGTGTGCCGACAAGCGGACCCTGCTGATGCGAGATTAACGCTAGGAAAGAGAGAGAGAGTATGGTTAAAAGGCATAAGTAACCCTCTCTAACATGATAATAAAAGTACTAAAGCATTGGATTTAGGTTAATCAAAAAATCCCTCCTCTGTGACCAGCAGATGCCTGCACTTCCCAGCTATTTCCCTGCTCCATGATTAGCACGCCCCACTGTAATGAATGTAATGTAATGTTGAATTCACAGATATCGAGACCCTACTGTACATAAAATCCAACCCTTTGTCACTCCACTTGGTGAGTGCCTTCATGGCTACCACACAGAACTGAGACTGTGTTCAGGCAGGATTCAGTGCAGCTTAAGACATGTCTGTTCTTTTCACAGGCTTTCGGGTAATCCTCCATTTTATGATGAAACTGATGATGAGGACTACGAGAATCATGACAAGAATTTGTTTAGAAAGATCCTGGCTGGAAACTACGAGTTTGATTCTCCATACTGGGACGATATTTCTGATTCAGGTGCTCAGATTAATACAGACATTTAATTAAACGTCTTTTCTTTAGACACACACAGCAATACACATGCATTATATAGTCATATAACACTGTATATACATTTGCCAGCACCAATAAATTCATTAATAATGCAAGATTAGTTCATTTTCATGCTAAAGGCCAACAGATTTCCATCTGTTTCCTCTTTGATCTAATGATTTAGTTGATTTATCCTGTCTAGTGTACTTATTTTTATTCACTAAGCTCAGAAATGTTTAACAAATGAACAGTTACTAAGTAGATTATGCTGCACGTGTTGGTTTCTCAATGGACAACTGCCTGTGTTGATTCCTTTGCAGCCAAGGAGCTGGTGGCCCGTCTGATGGAGGTAGACCAGGACCAGAGACTCACTGCACAGGAAGCCATTAACCACGAATGGTAAACATTTAGTGTTTTAGTAAATTGTGTCAAACGTATTTTTAAGATGCCATTTTATAAAGAAAATGCATTTAAATGTAATAAGAAGTGGTTCTTTTTTCCTAAAAACTGAAATATGTGTTGTTTTTGCTACAGACAGTTATGTGCTGTATGTCATGCATAGATATAATCACTAAGGGTTTGTCACTTTAAGGATTAGATTGCATTAGTGTGTTTTCTTCTCATTGTTCAACATTAGCCAAATATCAGTTGCTAATCTTCTTTATTGAAACAAATTATGGGAAGGGAAAGTCATGTACTTCTTTCATCTTGCCTCAGGATTTCTGGAAATGCAGCTTCAGACAAAAACATAAAGGATGGTGTCTGTGCGCAGATTGAAAAGAATTTTGCCAAAGCAAAGTGGAAGGTAATCTTCTTGCTTTTTTGCTGCTGTTTTGTGCGCATACTCTCTTTTGACTTGAAATTTGCCAATTAGCATTGTAATCTTTCCGATAGAGGTTCACTTGGAAGAGTTTGTAAGGAAATGTTTTACATTCCTGGTTATGTCTCAGTTGGATATTAAAATCCCATTGCAGCTGGCACTAATTTGGCTGAAATTGAGAATGATTAACACTTTTCCCCCAAGCTACAAAACGCTTAACGAAAACTGCAGAAATTGCAGAAAACTGGACTTTGTCTCTTCTTCTGGAGGTTTTGTGACAGTGTTCTAAAAAAGCATTTACATTTTATGGGGTCTGACACTAGTTAACTAAAATTCAGCCAAATTAAACAGATACGTAGGGATGGTGAGACCATGTTTTTTTTTTATTTGAAGGCTTTGTAATTTAATATTTGAAAACGGATGTCCTGCACTGTGGAATACAGTTTGAAATGCCTTACTTGTTTCATTAAAAACATTCTACCGGGTGCTTTAGAGACCCGACCTGGCTGGTTCTCCTTATCGTCCTTATTATTCTCCTTATTGTCCTTTGCCCCACAGAAAGCAGTGCGGGTCACCACCATCATGAAGAGGCTTCGGGCGCCGGAGCAGAGCGAGTCGGCAGCAGCCAGCCCAGCCACCCCCGGAGCTCAGGGGGCTCCGTCTGCTCCACCTGCTAGCGACACCCCTGCGCCCCCTGCCGCAGCCCCAGAAAGCACCCCTGCCCCTGCAGGGGCCCCCGGCGCTGAGTCAGAGGACAAACCTGCCAGCGCAGAGGACCGCAAGAGCCCAGCTCAGCCTGACAACTCTGCCAAAGTGAGTGTGGCAGCTGAAGAAGAGGATCCTTCGTCACGATGTAATGGGGAGACCCCAGCTCCCCTCAACTCTGCAACTGAAGCCTGGGATGAGCAGAATGGCTAAACTAGGGTCCTGTTCCCCTGGCCCCAAGCACTATGTATTATAGCCGCTGGCATGGTGACGCTGAATCTGCTCTCTCACACAGCATAGTTAGTATCCAGCTTAAAGAGCCAGTGTTCTGTCTTTCCTGAGAGGTGTTCTGCTGTTTTGTCCTTTCAATAATTTTTTATCCATCCTTTTAGGGACCTAAATTATCCCTCGCTACAGCAGCTTTTTGCCGAAGATACAGGAAGCTGCTGTTTCTGAAATGTTTGTTTCTTTGTGAATGGGGTTTGTAACTGCGTTAAGCTGTCCTTCTGAGATTTCATTTCTCCTCCCCCAATGCTCCCACCCTGCGTTAAAAACCCAAAGTATTGTAAGAGACACAGCTGGGACTGCAGTCTTTTCTGTAAATTTCCGTCAACATTTCATTCTCAGAGTCTTCTTTGAAGAAGAGGTGTTTTGAAGCAGATTCTTTGGTCTCTGTGCTTGCAGACGGGGAATTAAGCTATAGAAGAAAAACCTCTGATGGCAGATAAGTTTTGGTATCATTGGTTAGTTACCAATTAGTATCCACCCTTTTGAAGGGATTTAGCAGTAGTCCCCTAAAGAAACAGGTTTTGACTCCCACTCATTTTTAAACAAGGTATAACAAAATATTATCCCAAAACACATCCCAAAATAGGTAGACTTATCCCAGGAGACTTTCTAAAAAGTGTTTCTCCAAAAGTAAACAGAGGAAGGAAACCTGAACTTAAACAAACCCACAACTAAACCTTTGAAGCCCCTTACATAAGATTGGATTTTCATAATAAATCTTACTCTGTGATCATCATTGTAACGTAATTCAGTAGTATTTATTGAATAATACTTCCCTCTTGAAAATGTTTCTGCTCTGCTTTTGATATCTTTTATTCCCCTCTTCGTTTCCTCACTAATGTTATTATAATAAGTACTTACTGGTTCTCTTTGTCATGGGACACCCCTTCTGCTTTTGGCGTAATGGATGCAGTATATCAAGTACATTCCTGCTTTTTGTGGGGTGAATCTCATCAGCAGGTGTTTAATGTATTGTACTTCACTCTCAGATTACTGCCCAGGCAGCCTTCGGAAAGCAGACACTGCTCTTTAAGTATTATACTGCTGTAAATAGAAATGTCCGTAGGAGTAGCCAAACTGGCATGCATTCTGAAGTTTCCTATTCATTCACATTGTTTCTTAGTTAGCACCTGATGGATAAAGATTTGATCTGACTCCCTGCCTTTACATGTAGAAACACATTGTTCTCTTAACTGATGCCAATTGTATGCATATGTACTTTAGAAATGTTAATGAGTGTACACTCGGTTACTTGTTTCTGTCCATTTCTTACATACAGTATATTTAATGTATACTTCTATTTTCCGGGGGAAGATTATATTGATATGGAAATACACAAAACTTTGAGAGTTATGTTCTATTTATTTCTAGACTTTATTTGTATTTGGGACATGGTCACTCCATTATAGTAAAAAATATTCTTTGGATTCTTCTGGATTGTTTTCTGAATTCATAAAATGGCAGCAGATTCTTAAAGATTGCTGTAGACAGACATATCATTACAACTACGTAGACGATGAAGAAGTACAATATGCATAAAGAAGTATATTAAAATATCATTTGATTTTGTTCCTTTATTAAAATAGTGTCTGGATTTAGATAAATGTATATAGAATTATATTAAAGATCAAATGTTTATAAGAACATGCTTGTACAAAACAGATATTCATAGCATTCATACACAGCTTTGTGAAGTTAGTTTTACACATCCTTTACTGAGGAGATGTCAGTTAATTTTAACTGTTTCATTTATGCTGAATAATAATAAAATTTAAATAACAACCATCAAGGAATATATTACTTGCATGTGGAAAAGATGCGAAGGGAGAAGTTATTTTGTTGTTTATTTTTTATTGCTTCTTTAATAACTATTACCTGTACGATTCCTTTCTAAGAGTGGAATTTTTAGAGATTGTTAGAGATTTTACTAATGCTTTTCTAGGCTGTAACGTGAACAGACTTAGTGATGCAGTTTCAATATTGCACATACTTCTTTTTAGAAGAAATGTGAATGTACAGTATACTTCCTTATTCTCTGTTTGGAAAATGGTAATAAGTCACTTATTAAAATGGTACCTCCTTTTAAAACAGCCCCAACAGTGCTTCTCACAAATAAGGCATGAATAAGGTGAACATTTTTTGCTGTGGGTGTTCAATGTTCTTTAGTGAGCAATTGATAACCTCTGTGGAAACTGTATTTCTCTTTTGTTCTTTAGCTGCCCTAGACTTTAACAGAAAGTAAATAAAACAGATATAGTAATAGTTATTAAATTTCAATAACTTTCAGATATTTTACTTTTAAATGCACCCCATCACCTAAGGGTACCTCAAACAGTGATTGCAGGGATAAAGTTAGCAGTATGTTTATCATACTCTAATTCCATATGTTGTGTGAAGGAAACTAGTCATTCTGATGGCTCTGAATGTAATGCCTTACGCAATTAATGCTTGTTACTGCATGTATTATAAATTTTCCACTTACAGTAGCTTAGGGTGAGCTCTCGGTATTGTCGAATTCTGTCACATCTAGAGTAGTAGTTTATAAATTGCCGAACATATAAGCATTATGTTCTTTCACAAAATCGTTGTTATGCACCAGTGTATATTTTCAGCTTTAAAATATAAATTTAAAATAATAAAACTAAAAACTACGCCACAAAACATGGTTTTGAATTATTTTCGTGGCAATGCACACCTTTGTCAATAATGTGCAATAATAACCGAGAACAATTGTTATAATTGCCATGGTAGCAGACCTTCTGTAATAGCAGGCTGAGTCAGTGGGTGCTACTCTGAAGTGTTTCATTTTTAAAATATTTTTTTTGTGCATAACCCCTGACAAATACCAGCAAGGACAAAGAATCAGATGAATGCACACAGGCTGGATCAAGGGGAAATGTCTCTGAACTGAAAATAGAACGGCTAAATACCGTGTTTTGCACAAGGTTATTTAGCTTACTGCGCTGTGGTAGGAGTTGGTTTGTTTTACAACGATGAAAATCTTTGTCAATCAGATGCCTTTGTCTTTTGTTCTGTGTAAAAACGGGTTAAACTCCCCTGTTTTGCGGATATTGCCTTTCCATTATCGTTCTCTTTATTCCCAGCGCCCTGCTTGTCTCGAAGCTCTCTAGTTCATACACCGTTATTTTATTGCTTCTTAGGTTCTGTATGTAAACTGTAACAAAAACGTCAATGTATACTTTTCTGCTCTTTTAACACTAGCTTACTATTATGTGAATATTGATTATTAAAAGCCATCCTTGTCTCCTCGGTTTCCTTTGTTTAACTTTTCACTTGTAGAAAATAAAAAAGCAAATTGAAACTTCAGTGGGGATTTAGGCAGATTGAAAGTGATTTATTGTGCGATTAAAACGCATCATCTGGCTATTGTTTTTTTCTTTTTACTTAAACCACTTGGATTCGCCTATTATGCTTAAGGGTGGTTAGACGTGTTTTTTCAAATATAGTTACTAGACACCTTATCTAGTAAAGGACACTCAGATTCTACGTCTGCCAAAAAACAGGGCCTTTTAAAATCTATTTTTTTACCCAGCTTTTTTCCCCCATTTTGTATAGAGATACCACAGATCTCATCGAAGGAGGTGTTTTAACATAAAAACACACAATTACGTGAGGCTGGAGGAGGGTATTTGACATTGGTTTGATTATGCAACAGGAAAATCCCACACAAATTATGTGAATGTTTTTGAATTTATTTTAAATTAACCAAAACCAATTAAATTAAGGTAATTGGGCATAGGAAACAGGGAGGAAAGTGTCCAACTGCACTGTACTAGTTTTAGGTGAGAGAGCACATTTTCTCCTTTTCCAGATGGTACACATTTTAGCACCGCAACCGTCATCTCCCGGGAATAGTTCAGATCGCATTATTTATGCTCCGATGTCTCCGCTCCGGCTTCCTCTGCAACACCAAACAGGGTTGAAATGTTAGCCAGACCTGCTGGGTTGAGAGCTGTCTGTTCAAGCCCAATAAATACGAAGCGAAACAAATATTCTCGCTCTAGTTTGGGGTTTTTGTTTTGTCGTCTCATTGATCGATCCGATCGACTTGTCAGTAGTATTTTTGCTTACGTTTCTCATGTCTGCGAAATCTGTAGTATGGGTTTATTTCTACAGTTTTCTACAGAAGGAAATGTATCGTTTCGTATCTTTCAAAGTGAAAATTTGAGCAAATCTGTATGTCTTTAAAACCTGTTTCACAGGGATCTATATTTATATTTTTTTCTTTAGAAATGTATGCAGAGTATTATATTGTTTTGTAACAATATGTACTATCAGTCGAATTTGTGAGGGATTGCTGGAATGGTTGTTTTCTTCTGCCTAAATACGAGCACGTTTCTAGAAAAGTGCTAAATACCTAAAATGAAAAAAAAAACTAACGTGGGGCAGATGCAATGTTTTATTAAAATTATATATACACAATAAATTTCTCAATTCGATTAAGACACTTCATACTTTAAAAAACACTTGCTGTACATATCAATCATATTATACAGAGGGTATTTTTCCTATACCCTCTGTATAATTCCTAAGTCATAAAAACTTTTCCCCCAATTTTGTAATGCCATACTTCCCCTTTTTGAAGTATGCTCTGTTAAAAAAAATTGCCCACAACCTTTCTATTTCTTTTCAGTTTTGTTTTGTTTTCTTCATTTTTTATGTCTTTATGAATCATTGGAGTGAAGGGGGTTCTAGATTGTGCTCCATGGACGTGGCTCTCACTTAGAAAGCTTCAGTATTCCTGAGCTGAACTGGAAAGTTATTTCAGTCTGATGGTAATAAAGGTTTCTTCATTTGAGTTGCGTTGCTGTGCTTTTTCACATCTTTCCTCGTGGAATCCCAGGGTGGGATGGAAAGGAATTCACCTACTACTTCATATCTCAGAAGCTAAACAAGGTTAGGCCTGGCCAGTACTTGGATGAAAGACCTCTAAAGAATAAAAAAGTAGCTGCTGTAAGTGGTGTCAGTTGACCTGTAGGTTGGTGATCTTCCCTCTGCACCATTCATCCATTTTCTAACCACGTCTTCCAATTCTGGGATGCTGGGAAGCCGGAGCGTATCCCAGCAAGCAACAGGCACAAGGCAGGGTACACCCTGGAGGGAACACCAGGGGCCATTTTTCCCACTAGCCAATAAGCCGACTAGTACGTTTATGGACTGTGGCAGGAAGCTGGTGCACCCAGAGGAAACTGGGGAGAACATGCAAACGCCATGCAGATAGCACCTCACATCTGGAATTGATCCCAAGTCCCCCGCAGCTGTCAGGGGTTGCAGTGATGTGGCTGGTTATGACCCTAGCGAGCCTGTGGTAGATTGGCCTACTTCCGCCTGTTATGCCCCCAAGCTCTGGAACTCTCTGCCCAAGGATATCAGTTAGTCTCTAAACTCCTTCAAATCCAGACTCAAAACCTTTTTCTTTAGAAAAGCCTTTACTTAACTGGTTCGATTCTTCACCCCTCTGCTTTTCTTAGTATCACCATCCACGGTCTCCTCTGCATATTGTAATTGTGTTTTATCTTGTGTATTCTTTTTATTTATTGTTGTTGTCATTCTGTAAAGCGCTTTGAGAAGCCACCTTTAAAGGCGCTATATAAAATAAAGTTTATTCTTATTATTAATCCCGGAAAGCTTCCGTAAAGCTCCACAAGTAACCAAATCCCCAAAACGTAAAGCGGTGCCGTAGTCCAGGGATTGCGCAAGGGTTTCGAGAGCCAAAAGACGATTAGGTTTAAAGTGTTTCTTTCCCAAAAAGGTCAAGCGAGGGTTGAGCTCAGAAGAGGGAACCTCAATCATGAGGGGAGACCGAGTGCACTGAAAGGGTATAAATAGGGAAGAGCGTGTGGAATGATAATTGATTAATTCGAGCATGGATGTTTACGGTGAGAGGTGCTCGCGTGCGGTTCATGACAGCAGCAATGTTAACCTCTGACCCCCCTTGCCGTCCTCTGGCCCAAAATGTCCAAAAGCCAGTGACCCAGTATTGTGGCCAAGGGACAGTTTGCAGCAAGAGGCAGAGCTCTTCCAATGAGACAATACAGTGCAACCCTGAGTTCTTGATCATTAAATGTCCCTGCTCCTAAGGGTAAGTATGTTTACCTGACATCCTAGCTGAACTCCTAAATTCCTTGACCTTGCACAATCACCGCCACCTGTATAGTTTCTCCTTTAATTCAATCGGTGAAGCACTTTCCCATTTCTCTCCCTGACCTGCTGTGCAGTGGGGTTAATCCTTTTGGATTAACAGTACTATACTGTATAAATGCAATTAATCATTATAATTATTGAAGTAGCCTTCATTCCTGACACAAGAAGAGCCAAAATATACCATGGTAAGACAGTATGGCGGGGAGGTAGTTATGGAGTGAATGCCAGTAGAAAAGAAAGAATGTGTAAGAATTACACAATTACGATTCCTGACCTAAATGAGAACCATGAGGTGCCAACGATGATTCTGCATAAACAAGTGCAGTTCTTCCTAATGTTTGTGGCATTCAAGGTACAATAGGTCAATAACAGAGCAGATTGCATGACTTAAATTTCACATAGCTATGATGATTATTAATGAGAATTCTGTTTTTATTTCATCACATTCTATTTTTATATGGCCTTTTGGACGTGAGAGGGTTGATCTTTCACTGGAGATGTGTCAGTTGCATGTAACAAGATCTTGTTTGTTGCCATAGGTAGCACAGGGTACACTCATACAGTATGTCGTATGTCACATATCATAAATAAAGTGATGTTCAAAACAGTCAAAGAGTTGTGTGTTCAATTTTTGAACAATTGACTACTGAAATACAAGAACACGTTCTTTCTAAATTGTTAATACTGAAAATTGAATGCTTTAATATTCTGTAGTGGTCGGGAGAGGGTCAATCTAACAAAAGTAAAACCAAGAATATTCATAAAGAATAACATTTTCATTAACTTTCATTAATGACGGTAAACCATGGATCTAACAGTGCCCTTAAAATCCTTTTATCGCGTTTCAAATTAAAAACCTTAGTTCCTGAAATGGATAAACTGGGAGAACAATGATGAGCTTTTGAGTTGTTTTCCAATCATTAACAACGTTGTTTGTAAAAGTAGCTGCAATTATCTAGTTTATCGTCAGAGGAAGCACATCGTAAAAAGAAATACACAGAGTGTTCATTAAAAGGGATTTTGCGAAATATTGTAGATAAATTTGCAGTTCTTGAGTTGCTTTCTCTTTAAATGGTTTCAAGAACCCTGTGTCGTCACGGATTACGTACATTGTAAGGCGGAGACTACGTTTGAACTACGCGCGGGTGAGTGGTTGCAAAGAGAATGGTTGGGAGAGCTTCCGTAAACAACGTTTCTCCTACGCTGACTGCGCAAACATAAATAGTTGGTTGAATAAGATTGTACATCTAAATGCGTAGAATGTTTAGAGAATAGTACTTAAGTAAATGGAAAATGGCTGCGGTAAAGATGTTAGCTATACTATTTTTAAACATTTAAGTAGTGTTTACTTGTAACTTCACCGTTTATTTCTTAGCCTTTTTGTCAATTATTATTCGTGGATTTGTTGGCTTGTGAAAAAAGCGCTTACGGTCTTCCGGTTTACAATCTAGTAAGTATATGAACACCGAGAACTGTCAGAATGTATGCATGCGAATTAAAATATAAATATATAATTTATTTCAGTAATTTTATGGGATAAGTAAAACCGTATCACTCGTAAAAATACAGTTTCGTTCAATTAGGCCTTGCTTTAATAATTAAAGTGTAACACTGTCGCATATTATATGTTTAACTTGCTAATTTCCTTATTTTTCAATGGAATCATTGGTTACAATTCTATTTACTGGTTCAGATATAGGTTCAACTGGCGTCAGTGGAAATTGGTGAAATACTGTTGAAACACGTTTCAGTCCAGATTACAAATAAAGACACAGCTGATCTCGCTTTACACTTTTTTTCCTCTGATTTTGTTGATTTAAAAAAGGATTAATCATTACCCGGTCTACTTTGCTTTTGTAAATTGTAGGATTGTTGAGATGTCCGTGCACTATTGTGCACTAGTGATATTGGAATGTGAGTACTAAACAAGAATGTTCACTAACAAGAAGGGCCATTCAACCCATCTGCTGTAGCTCGTTTGTCTTTTAATAGCCATTTGCTCCTGTATACTCAAATTCAAATATATTGTCTCTTTTACTAAAATAAATGTGATGGGAGGAAGCAGTCAAGGTTAAAACCACACTCTTCTTAATGGGATGTTTAATATAGAAATCATACCGAATTCAAGTGTTGAGTGGTTCAGTATGTATCAGATTTCAGTTCAAGCTTGATTATTTCCTTGTGGAAGTTTGTTTTATGGCAATACATCACCAGCAAAGAGTTCAGGACAGCAGTGTTTTTGAGAAGATAAGAATTATTTTTCATTGTGTTATACTGTTTATGTTACATTGTATAGAATTCTACAGTGTTAAATATTTGTTGAAATATAACCATTTTTATTATAAATACTGTATAGAATAGTGTTAATTAAAAATATGTATGTTACAAGGAAGAGGAGGATGTCAGCTATTTTTCTTCTCTTCAGGTCAATGTGAAGAATGCCGATTCGAGCTTATTGTACGATCTGCTCGGACTTTTTTGATCACTCTAAAGATGTGGCAGCCATCCATTGTGGGCACACGTTCCACTATGATTGGTAAGTCTGCACAGCTAATGCCCAGCTTTCGATATAGCCGTTTTAGCCATCAGAAATGAGGAGTTAAGAATATGTGGTCTGTAAAAGTTCACTTTTTTTTTCTTCTTTTTTGCTACCGTCATAGCTTGACCACAAAATCCGTACCTTTACTTTTTTTGAAGCGCACTTGGGAAATGCTTTACGGTGCGGTGTTTTAGCTGGTACCTACCAGCGTGATTCTTGACCATACTGTATCTAAGTCGAGATCATCACCTTTTTTAGTGATGAATGTGTCCAAACACAGCAATACATTATCTCTCCATTTGCAGTCTTCTTCAGTGGTTCCAGTCTGCACCATCGAAGACCTGCCCACAGTGCAGAAAGCAGGTATGTGTAACTCTTGCTCGCTGTGGGGCTCCTTTAACTTATTTCTTGAAAGAGGCCTCCAGAGATTTACTTTTAGTTGGGTATTGCATCAGCGTGCACTTCTAGCTGCACTAGGGTGCTCTGTAGTATTTAAAACACATGTTTTCTACTGTAGCTTAGTATCTGTTTGAGATATGTGTTACTTAGATCCCTGCCTCTTCTTATGAGACTCTGTGCTAAAATATGTCTTTTAGCAGATTTTCTCAACTTGGTCTTTGTTTCAGGTTAGAAACCTTATGGTTACATCTTGATTATCTGATATTGGTTAGTCATGTTTGCACTTGCACTGACCTCTTCCATCGGTGAAATGTGCGTGACATACCTGTTCCCATGTGTATTGATGCAGCTCTTCCATTTTGCTTCAGGTCAGCACCAAGCACATCATTAACAAGCTGTTCTTTGATGTGGGAGGTGAGGAGGATAGTGCCCGTGTGGACCCTGAGAGTTTACAGGTATGACTCATCAGTGTTTGCTCTGCAGTTTATGACTGCAGGCTAATGTACTGTAGTCCTCTTGCAAAAGCCAAGCCAGTCTTCTTGTTAAATGGAGTCATTTTTAATTTCAACTTTTTATTTACCTTGCATTTAAAAAGGAAACAAAAATGCCTCAACTTCAGATAAAAATAAAAACAGATAAACTGATTAAAATAAACTGTACTTTGAATAGAAAATGGCTTTAAGTTGCAAATTGCAAAGCACATTTTCTTTGCAGTAGGTTTGTAGAAGATTCCTCCTTCTTTTTCATTTATAATGTTTTGTGGAGCCGTCTCATTTATGCATACCTTCCAGTAAGATCTCTGATAGCAGGAGAGATTCTGAAAGAATTGTCACCGGTCTGTATTTTGCTCTGAGAGATGTCTTCCCATTTTGAATGAGCCCATCTCCATATTGGCTACATGAATGGGCACAAGAGGGTTTTTTTATATTCTCGTGCAAAGTGTAGTTTATTGCACAAAGGAGTCTATAGAGTATTTGTCTGCCACTATATTAAGGTATAGTTGAGATATTGTTGCAGCTATAGGTGACTAGGAAGTGTCTCTTAAAGTTTAGATAAAGTGTGTAACACCTGACAGTAGAAACATTTCCAGGTCCAAAGCAAAGGGGATGTTTGCTGAGATGTATGGGGTCCAGATCCTGTGAACAAAAGCAATTTTTGGGATCGTCTTTGGTATTTTGTTCGTCTGCCTGGATAAAGGCTGGTTCAAGTTTCTTGCCTGAGTTACGTGTCTTGGCTCAGCTCTGCAGGAGCTGCCAGTCTCCCAGGGGAGTGGGGCTTTTGACAGCTTTCAGCGGTAGAAAGCAGAGTACCTATTGCCCAGCCTCTGGGTTTTTTAGTTTATAGTCAGTGATTGAAGTGGTTTGTTTTATATCTCAGGTATTGGTGTAGAATGTTCCACACAACCTCAAGGATTGTCTGCATTGGATTTGCTTTCAAGATCTTGTTAATATAATTTGTATAAGATAAAGAGGAAGATGGGTTTAAATAATAAACTTATGTTTTAGGCAAAATCTCAAAAATCAATCCTTATCATGCTGTTCACACAGTGCTTCATTTGTAGACCATTTTAAATGTTTTTTTATGTTTATGTATTTTCGTCTTTTTGTGCTGGTGTTTTGTGTGGTTCCTGAACATAATGTGATTAAGTGTATGTCCTGTGTTTTATTTTTCAGAATGAACTGGACAAATTTAAAGCCCTTCTAAGTGTAAAAGGTAATGTGAAGATTGTGTACTTCTCTAGACATGGGTTATTAGAAGTTAGATTTTACAGTCTAACCTTAGAATGCAGGTTTATTTTCCAGTCATTTCTAATTGCTTGGGACAGATGTGCCCTGTTCCTTTGGCTTGCTCCATGTGTGGAAGCCCAAGTTTGGAGCCCCCCCCTTTTTTTTTAGACTATCCAAAACAATAGGTCAATAAAACATATAACAATTTTCTAATCGCTTCATCCGAATTAGTGTCGTGGACTGTGGGAGGGAAGGAGAGAACATAGAAACTTCCCCCCTCAGGGACAATAATGACAATAATCCACATTGTTAGTTTTAAATGATCTTAAAGAAAAGAGCTAAAGAAATAACATTGCATCAGAAATCACACATGAGGAAAAAACAGTTTAGTGAGAAAGAGCTGTAAAGTCCACACATTTATCTAAAGATGATAGGTGTTCTAGCTATGGTTCTGTGTTGCAGAGAAGGACAGGAAAGGACTTCAGAAAGTCATCGAGGCTTTGCGGGAGACAGTGGGACGACTGAATATAGATCTGGAATGTGTCAAGAAGGAGCTTAGTGAGAAGGACATGCTATGTGCTGCACTCAGGGTAAGTGTCAGCTTTTGACAGTTATGTTACACGTCAAAAAAAGTAAATATATGGCTTTTTTCTTTCTTTGTAATGCTAGTTTTTCTTATTTTGAGGATCACAGTAGATATTAATTTATCTCTCAGGAAAGTTGTACAATGCAGTTTGTAAAAAAAGAATCAAGTGCACACTTCTTGACTTCAAGTGTTGTGACTGTTCTTCTTCTGTTGTCTTTATCAGTAAACATCTTGCTAGTCTTAGTAATAAACCCAACGATTAGATTTTCTTTAGGATTCAATTGAAAATACTTACCGGCAGATTAAAGTGAAGACTGATTTACACTGTTCTGCGTTCAGAAACAGATGAAGTTTTTGGAGAACCAACAAAGTGAAACACAGTCTGCAAAAGAGGAGGCACGCCGTCTGAGGACTAAGATGAAAACATACGAGAGGTATGAGTACTAAGCTCCTCCCTCAGTTGCAGAACACAGTGGCCTTCTGTGACATATTCAATAATGCTCAGGGCAGTAACACTTTCAGAAAGCAGCCATATCACTCTGCAACTCACAACTGGCAACCCACTGAAGCTTAGCAGGTGTGAGCCTGGTCAATACCTGGATGGGAGACCTCATCGGGAAAACTAAGGTTGCTGCAGGAAGAGGTGTTAGTGGGGCCAGCAGGGGGCCCTGTGGTCCATGTGGGGCCTAGTGCTCCAGGATAGTGACGGGGACACTATACTGTAAACAGGTGCCGTCCTTCAGATGAGATGTAAAACCGAGGTCCTGACTCTCTGTGGTCATTAAAAATCCCAGGGCGTTTCTCGAAAAGAGTAAGTAGTTTAGCACTGGCATCCTGGCCAAATTTCCCATTGGTCGTTACCAATCTTGACCTCCATAATCCGCATCTATGAATTGGCTTCATTACGGTGTTCTCCTCCCCACTGAAAGCTGATGTGTGGTGAGCGTTCTGGTGGATGCTGCACATTGGTGGTGGGGGGGGGGAGTCCCCATTACCTGTAAAGCGCTTTGAGTAGAGTGTCCAGAAAAGCGCTATATAAGTATAAGCATTAATATATTATAAGTGTAATTATTATTAGAAACCCATCTTGGTGGAGGCCTATTTATGTTATCTTGCCTGGTAAATAATGGCAAGGTAATATGATGATACCTTAAGCATCAGTGCAGTGAACTAACAGGCCTAAAGGTGGAAAGAACTCAGGTAACGCATTTTGTTCACAATGGTGTTATGACTCTGAATGATGTTAGGTGCGCTGCATGCAAATTGAGTGAGATTAGATTAAAATAATTACCATGTGTCACCTGCTGGGAAAATGCAGATAGCAGGTATTTGATTTCTTCCATCCATCTATTTTTAAGCTGTTTCTTCCAATTTAGAGGCGCAGGTATCTGGAGCCTATCCTGACAAGCAAGGCAGGGTACACCCTGGACAAGGCACCAGTCCATCGCATAGCACACATCGATATATACGCACACATCCAGAATCCAGTTAAAGGGGAACTAAAGTCCCAATTTCTCAGACCAGTTATTAAATCTCGGTTAAAAAAAAAATTAACTTTAAAGAAAAAAAAATAAAAATAAAAATTCAGCACAAAATCGTGAGCTTCGTGAAAGTACTGTAAGTCGGCATGTTGTCACAAACTCGCATTCGAGTTTCTACGAATTGCGATATGGTTCACCTCCTCCTGCTCACTAGTCTCCGTAGTGACCAACGTAATGTGATGAGCGAGCAAATAAAAATAAATTGTGCAGCAGGGATTTCACCACAGAAATGTTCCAACGTGAACTGCATGCAGAGTTACCAAGTAAGTAGAAACTTACAAAACCATGCTGAAATCAAAAGCAATAATTCTATTGGTTTTAAGGAGAAGCCTGCTTGTTTCCAATGACGTGCGACCGCACACGTCAATGGACATTTTGTTGCCTCGTTCTGAATCGCAGAACATTGCGCTGCGATTACAAGATACTTTGTATATTTTGCTTTTATTGTGGTTTAAAACACTGATCCGTGCTGATTCTTTCTAACCCTGAAATAAGAAAATAACTTTGCAGTTCCCCTTTAACCTATCAGTATGTTTGTGGACTGGGAGCACCCGGAGGAAACCCACATGAATGTGGGGAGAACATGCAGAGCCCCAGAACCAGAATTGAACCCAGGGCCCTCCGTACTGAGAGGCAGCAATGTTAATCACTGTGTCACTGTGCCACTTTTTGCTTTCTTATTGTTACTTTTCTAATGTATTATTCATATGCAGTCCGTGAAACACTTCCAGTCATATTGTAAATCCATTGTCCAAGGCATGAGAAGGGAACTCCAAAAGAGTGAAGTCCTTGAAAACTCCTGCTAACCCCAGTGTGTGTGTCTGTCTATCTATCCATAGCCTGGACCTTCTTCTGCAGGGCCAGCGCTCAGAGGTGGAGGCCATGATTAGAGACATGGGAGTTGGCCAGGCAGCTGTTGAACAGCTCTCCATCTTCTGCATTTCCCTCAAGAAGTAAGGGCTGACCTCTTCCTAAAGATCCATTTTGAGCTTATAAAGGCATCGTATCACACAATGTTTCAATTAAATCAAAGCTTCAACCAGCCCGTGTTTAATCAAAAGTATTTCATGATGGTTTTCTGTTTGCCAAATGCTGTTCTTTTTTTTTCTCAATTGTAAACCTACTTTTAATCTTATACTGTACTGTGCATTGCAGCTGGTGAAACTGTTGGAAGAGTTCAATGAACCAAATCACTCACCATCTGAAAGATGTTATGGAAAAAATCTATAAGGTTTTCAGATAAACTATTACTGTACTGGTCTCTTTTTTTCATACTTTTACATTGAGATGATTGTTTGCCTAAAACATTTGCTTCTCAGTCATTGCAATGTTTTGGGAAATAATTGTTGTGCACAAGCTGAAACCCTCAGTACCTGGATTTATTAACATGTCGTTAGATCCATAAATGTATTTATTTATTGTATTTTAAGATATTGCTTTAACACACATGGCTACACGTTTTTATGTAAAATGCATTTCTCTGAAATCTTGTTTCTAATTGTATGGCTTTCTCCAGAGAATATGAAAACCTGAAGATAAGTAACAAGACGTCAAATGAGATGTGTGAAAAACTCAAAAGGGAGGTTTTTGTATCCAACAACAAGGTAACTGCTAATTGATTTTTTTTTAAATCTTAAAACATTTTTGAAGTATTTGGTCCTTAGACCTCTGTGTCTTACTACGATGTGGATGGATGCTCTTCGAAATCTATATTAATGAGAATATGGACAAAATCCAGATCTGTGAGACACTTTTGGCAAAACCGTAATTTTGTCATTGAAAGACGGATGAATCCGATGTAAACATGTACATTTTTTTGCAATACAGTGGGGCTTCACTGACAGTAATTGAGAAGATTTACTTTTTAATGTACATTATGTACGTTGTTCATCATTTGATAAAAAATTGAATATACTATTAGTCATTCCTGTCATTGGAACATCAGTTTTAATACTGTCTAAAACCAGTCTACTGAATAAGATATTTTCTTTATAATTATTCATATTGAAATCCGAGCACATTTAAAATCTTTTTCTTCCTTGGATTTTTGATCAAAGTATGTCGGCTTTGAAAAATTGCCCGAAGCTACTTTATGAAGTGGTAAAGTCGTAGTTAATTGGATTCTGGCTATTTTTTCCTAAACCAGTCATTGTTAAAGCAGAGGATCCACCTTAGTTCCTAGTGAAGCACAGTACCCACAAGAGATCAGTTAGAGTATTCTTTAAAGTATTGCTTTACCAACTGATACAAGGGGAAATTTAGGGAGACCAGAATATGGAACCTCGGAGTGAAATTTAGGACAAGACACTGAGGTTACACGCTTGTCACTGCTGCCAGTCAGGATTTTTTTTAAGACCAAGGCAAGTCTTTAACATTTCAGCAGAGGGCTGGCACCACCTATTGTACATCACATCATCATTACATCGCTTTCAGAAACCACTTATCCAGTTAAGGGTTGCCTACCCTGTATACATTATTGTGTATTTTGTGGTCCAAGGGAAGAGCATCATCCCTTTACTAACTAGGCCCAGCCTTATTTATTTATTGAAACCTAAGATCACACAAGTACCTGATAATGCTGCTGTCAACTGCAATTTGACTAAAAATCGGTAAGGACTTGAACAGCTACTGTTAAAACTGCATTGGGAAAGCGGTAAAGTCAATTTAAACTGAATATCTTTTTGTGTTTTTATAGTGTTCATTGGATGCTTTGTATTTGAGGAGCAAAAACCCCTGAAAATCAAAATTCAGAAGCTATACTTCATATTTGTGGAATGCATTGTTGAAAATACTGATTTCTTTGTGAAATGTTTTTGTCAATCTAGATCTAAACACTTTTTTTATTTAAAAAAACAAAAATTCAGAATTGCAAAATGAAAAAAGGATTTCATATTTCAGCCTATGTTCTTTGCCAATGAAATTTTATAATCAGATGTGTGTTTATGAGTCCTTTATTATAATGAATGTTTACAGTCTTTGGGAGGGAATTTTCAGTGGTCACAGCAAATTTTTCTACATCTCTGTAACACAAAGTGGAGAACGTGAGAGTATTGCTGAAGTCTTATTACCGCTTTTGGGACCACGATACAGGTCTCAAAACAGATGATAGATTTGCAGATAGTGTTAGAATTCAATGCCTTGGTGAGGTGGCTGAAGAAAACAATGCATAAAAATTGACCTTGATCTGTATCCAGTTGCAGAAATCCGCCCTGCAGGTGAGCCGCACAAAGGAAGAATTGAACGCTGCCCAAGAGGATCTGAAGAATGCTGACAAGCAAATCAGTGTATGCACCTTTCTGTTCTGATTTTCCACATTTTTATTAATATTACAAACCTGTATAAATATGCTAGCCTGCAGAACACCTGTCTGCCTAAATCTATTTGTTTAGTGATAAAGCTTTCACTTATTTCCCACAAGCTTTCTCTCAACACATCTAAATTGAAGCCCTGACTTTTACCTTGCCTTTTACTCTATCACCTTCTACATATCTTGCTTCATGCGGAATAAATGTTATCTTTGAATATCTAAAGTGTTTTTGTGTTACGCTCGACCACATGCTCACAAAACTCCTAATCCTGTCCCCGTGCTGTGCTATTGATTTCATATTTGGAAGAGTGTAATGCTATACAGAATTACTGGTGGGATGCACTGGCCCATTATTTGTAATTTCAGAGTCTTCAAAAGAAGGTGGAATTCCTGCAGAAGGCTCTGAGCACGCCGTCTCGCACCAATGAAGCAATTAGTCGCATGGTCTTTGAAAGGTCAGTGAGTACCTGGCTACAATACAATTAGAAACACATTATGCTATTAACACTTACACCACGGACGTAGGTATTATTGAAACATATCAGCTGTTTCAGTGTTCTTTTTCAAGACTACATTATTGGCTAACTTTCTTCTTTTTTATAAAGAGTGCAGTATATATTGAGGAAATATCCTATGGTATTACAGTATAAGCAGCCTTAGAAAGGTCAGCTTGTAGGTTTTAGATTTTAAGCATTTCATTGTTCATAGCCTAAACGGGTTCTTATGCATTTCTGGCAGCCCTGCTCCTTTGGAACTGAAACAGCCTCGTCTACATCAGCCAGAGGACAGTCAGGATGTGGATCTCAGCATAACCTTTGACATTGAAACTCCTGAACAGCAGGAAAAGAAGAGTATCCCAGTCCCATCCAAGAAGATGAGGCTAGAGCCTGCTGAGTGAGTACTGCCCGTCTTGTAAATAGTCATTACACAGCTATTTTCAGGATAGGTGTGTGGCTGCCATCTTGGATTATACATTTTTGCCTTAAAATCTAAAAAAAAAAGGAGGACTAAATGAGCTGAAATTTATAAAGTGCATTATTAAATTAGCACATTTAGTTTTTGATTTATCCAATGTCAAATTCAAGACTTCCAAACAAAATCCTAAAGAGTAGCTCTGGATCTCGTAAATCTTCAATACTTGTTAAGATATTTGTAGTCTTTACCTATTAGGTAGGAGTATTGTATAAAATATAACACACTTTTATTATTGTATATGCATTACTAGACAAGTCTAGAAATACAGAAAAACTAGAATACTGTTAACCTGCCAAAACCTTCCTTAGTTATCTATACAGTCTCAAGTTCTCCACACAATTTGTTTGTATTTTCAAGATGCAATAATGTGTCATTCAACTGACGTTTATTTAGGTGACCTTGGCTACAGACATGCAAATTCCACATGCTGATGGAAAGGAATATACATGTATGATCTATCAAATTAGTTTGTATTTTTTTTGTTTTGGAATGGTTCTGATGCACCAGGTTTAATTAGCATATTTAGCAATCTTTGCTAATGCTCAGGAAACACTTCATGAATAATTCATAAACCGTTTTTGATTTTAAGTTATTTTAATGTTTCCCTGTAGGTCACCAACATTAAGACATATTGGCAACTGTTCAACGGAAAAGAAGGTAATGAAGACAAGAGTATTTTCTCTGGAAGCTATTTTAAATTAAATGCTAGGTTGCTTTAGGAACAAGTAGTCCAAACATAGTCTAGCATGTGCAGCCCATATTACTGGTTCTTCAGATCTAATTTTGGGTCGGTATTGTTATACAGTAGGTGTTTTAGATGAAGCTAGTCATGTGGTCCACTGTGCCTCACAACAGGTGTGGGTATGTTTGTATTTCAGAATTCCAGAGCTCGGGATGAAGAGGAAATTTCCTTGGCACCTTTGCTTTATAATTCGCTGCTTTTCAGGAAGAAAACCTTTGGAAGCATGCTGGACCCCCAGAGGACCAAAGTGGGCACTGTAAGATCCTGGCCTGATTTGATTACTCATGTACAGTTTCTAACCTCTTGCCATTTTGAACATGAAGTCATTTCTTTTTCTTTGTGTTTTAATAGTCTTTCTATATCAGTAATTTTAAATTTCAGACTTTTTAGTTTACTATTTAAGGACTAGAGTATGTTTATGCTGTTTAAAAGAAGTATTATTTTTAATGTCTCAAGGGTTAGATGAGACACATTTTTTCTTCTTTTTTAGGTAAGGACTGGTTTTGATGGACTTGGAGGAAGAACTAAATTTATTCAACCTGTATCCTTTCAATTTTTCTCTTGCCTGTAGTGTATTATTAGGCCAGTATAAATGTTACACGTTTCCTAGGGCATTGGAAGTCTGTATGAATGGATCTTAAATGTATAAAGTTGCTGAAAATTTCAAAAACTAATATTTAAAACACATTTTGTAAGAGAAGAAATACTTGAACAAAGATTTTCTCATTTGAAGTGTACTTTTTCTAAGTGTGTGGCATTAAAGTTGTATGACTCTTAAGGAAGCTTACACACACTGTATGTCAGGATGGTTGTTTTTAGTACCGTCAAATATTAATGTTGTGTTTCTGAAAAATAAGTGATGGCACTTGTGTTACGTGCAGGAGGTCTGCAGAGAGATCAGATAACTGATGTGTGCTGGCTTTTCAGGCAGAAGATTTCTTTTTTTCTTTAACCTCACTCCTTCCAGTCACCCCTGTCAGAAATCCGTCCTCTCATGATGAAAGCAAAGCGGAAAAAAGTGAGCAGGCCAAGCAGCAGCAGGTCTGCTTCCAACCTGCTGAAACTGGACAGCTTTCTGGAATGAAGCACACTGTGTTCCCAGGAGTCAGAGGTCACGGGAATGTACAGAACGGGAGTAGATGAGCCTGCTTTGCCTATCGAAAAATAAACTATTGCTATTGTGCTTAACAGGACCTTGTCAGCTCCTTGAACAGACACCTTGAAGTTTTTGAAACCAATGCAGCATACTCTCTACCAACTGAGCAACGCAGCACAAACAAGGCAGGTTTTGAAATGGTTGGCGTACTCACCAGTATCACCTATGTTTTCTGTTTTTTGCTATAGCCCACAGATCAGTGAGACCAACGATCTCACATTCTTGCATAAGCACCTGCAAAGAATGGATCAGCAGTTCCACAAGTGTATCTGGGGATGCTGAGACAGAAAAAATAGTGTGGTGAATCCTTACCTCAGTCTCTTCAACCTAGGGGGAACTTGAATGGGCATTTTCTGTGTTTTGTGTATATATGGCCTGTAAAAGTTTGTGTTGGTTACATTGCTGAGTGCACTCTTAACCTGTGGCTGTCTGACATTCGCTTTATGTTAGATGCTTCTTTTATGAAAAGTAATAAACACAAATTCAGTTTCAAGTCTGTCTCGTATATTTTCATGCTAGCGAAAGCAGTATCTATCTTTTGGCTGTGGTTAGATAGTTGCAAGGAGTGCATCGTATATTATAGTACAAAAATATTTGATTCTTAACTACTATTAACCATTCTGAATTTCATATGGCTATTGTTTATTAAAGGTTTGGTCTTGCTAAATGATGTTCACTGAAGAATACTAGTCTTTTTCCTACTGATACCATGGGTTATCAGCTGCTCAGTGTGCATCAGTGCCATTACCCCGATGAACAGATGCACATCAGTTCTAATGCTGTTGACTTGTTGCTATTTACTGTGGAAAATAAGTTACAAAAGTTACTCCTTAAAACTTGCTCCTAGCCTCATAACTCTTGAAGTTTTTGTCACTTAAGAGTGACTATAGCCAATAATCAGCACAGTGTTCCTACCGGAAATAAAGCAAAACCTAGACCAAGATGTTTAAGCTAAAATGTAGATCTAAATTAATTGCCGTTATATTCGGAAGAGATTTGAAAGTACTATGTGATGGGTCTCCTAGAGGACAAACCAGTTTCCTCTGTAATTCTGGAGGACAGTTCTCTCCTGGGTTGCTTTCTGAGCTCTTTAATAATCCACTTAATCCACTAATGGAACAAGTAGAGGTGAATTCCACAGGTTGTTTTGCAAGTAATGACTATGGAGTCATCTTCAGCTGTCCGTGAACATGATATTCAATGGAATGAAGACCAAAAGATGATCAAGTTCAAATAGGTAGCCGTGTCAGAATGCATAGGCTGTAAAGGGACAGATGAAGATGTATTCCATGCTGAAAAGAAACCCAATGTTTCTGCCGTGAAGTCTCCTTCAGGTGTCTTTCGAAGAAGGCTCCGAAAGATGAACAAGAGTACTAGAGTGCAAGGGCTCTAGCGTACAGGATTTGCAGGTTACCCAGAATTTGCATTGTTAATTAGTGGTATTTTTAGATAATCTCTTAATAGGTAATGCTAAAAATAGTCTACATACCCTTGTTTTCGTTTTAATTTTCCTGTTTGTTTTTATTTTTTACTGTATGTTTACAATTAAACTTTTTTTTCTTTATTCAACATGGACCTTATATGTGCTAGATATATATTTTTATAATGCACGTATTCTCGTGTGACAGGATAACAATCTGAATTTAAAATGGTGTGCAATCCTCATTATTAAGTATTGCAGATCTGCTCGTCTCTTACAAGGGTTTAGTAAAGCTTAAAGTGTAAAGGTTATAAGATTTTCTTTTTTGTGTCGAAGAAGCAACTATTTGAAAATAATACTGGGTGCTGAAGTGGCATTGGTAATGTAAGCGGTCTGATTGCACGTGTTTTCAAATAAATATTAATACCTCATATTTCTGCTCGTATATTGCGGTTTTCAGTAATTGAATATTTTTCAGCAGAAACAATACAAAATAACCTTTCACCTTGAAAACAACCAACTGTGAAGTATTTCAGGTGGGTAGCTGCGTCAGCATGCGTAGGCTGCAAAGGAACAATAGGTTTATTCCATGCTGAAAAAAGAGAACAAAACGTTTCGGCCGTGGAGCCTTCTTCAGGACTGAAGAAGGCTCCACGGCCGAAACGTTTTGTTCTCTTCTTTTGTTCTCTTCTTTTTTTCAGCATGGAATAAACCTCTTACTTGTTCCTTTGCAACTATGAAGTATTGTGTCTATCCTGTAGAGGACGTGCATAATTGCTTAAATCAGCGGAGTCGGTTTCACCAAAAATGGGAGCGTTGCTGGCATCAAACCTTGCTACAGGAACTCGGAACTGCACATATGAATCTCTTTCTTTCTGAAGGCGTTTTGCGAAACACGTTTAAACTTTTTTTGGATAGCACGATATTGAGCAGAACGCGTTAATGCTGAGTGTCTTAAAAAAACAGCAACATTAAAAACAGTTTGACATAAAAATAGCCGAGTTATTTCCTAACACTCGAAAGCAGTGATCTACAACAAACTCAGAATTCAAGCTTTTATAAAACCAGTGAACGTTAGAAAGGGATAATAAGCAAAACGGGAAAAGGATTTGAGCACATTTGCCGGTAAAGGTTTCTGAGGGGGAAATCAGCTGGTTCTTAGGAAAGCGAAAGTGAAAATTATTTCTCTATACTGCTAGTGCTATACTGTGCAGGGTCCCTTTTCATTAAAAAAAACCCAATTTTTTACTTTTATCAGTGTACTCTTGCAATTTGGTGAACGGGTGAGTCTTATTCATCTCTCTTGACCGTATTTCGTGAGACTGAATGACAGATGGAAAATGCCGATAAACCCTTGAAGACTGAGTGTCAGTATATTTAACCTTTGGGTGACCAAACGGAATTTTGCATAGTTCCTGTACTGATAATGATGGTTTTTTTTTCAAATTCCGAGCCGAAACGGCAAGGCCAAAAAACGGAATAATAAGGAAGTTAAACAACGAACCGGGGGGTTCCAAGGTAACAAGAACTGGTGGAAACCGTACCTTACTCTACTGCATAGACCATTTGATTCAGAAATATTCAGTATTTCAGTCTCTCAGGTATTTTTTCTTTCTGTGCAAGACATAAATCTCCGTTAAAACAAAAAAAAAATATATATAGGCCAAGTAACACTAGATAAAACTTCATATATTACAGAAATGTCATCAATCTCAGAAATAGACGAAAGTCTGTATTCTCGGCAGCTGTGAGTATTACTACGATTCTGTTTACATTATTTTTATGCTTTTATACATATAAATATATACACCTTTCTTATTAAATATAGTCTGTTTTCTAGATAAGTTGTTCTTTGAGAATGTCTGTTCACATTTTGCCAAGGAGCACCGAAAACGTCGCATTTTAATTGTAATTTGGTTTTTAAAAAACTTTAGAAGGGTACATTCACATTTGTTTAATTCAAACAATTTATCAAGAAATTATTCAAATAACCTGACAATTCACAAGTCACTGACAAGTGAGCTTTCAATTTCATTTTCACCAAGAACTTTCAGTTTTATTCAGGTGTGACTTGTGTGTATGTGTTGAATAGGCAATCAAGAAAAAGGACGTTCATGCAACTATTCATTAAGTTTCAGTCAAATCTCTGTACTGACTTCACAAGTTTATTGAATTCATCTTGTGTACATTTCCATTGTGAATGGAACTGGCAAAAGAATGACATAATTTTAGCCCTTCTTAAACTGATCTCTCATTGCAGCAGGCTTTTATTAAGCTTATCTTAATATGTTGTGACCTAGTCGAATCTAGTATGAAGTACTTTCTGAAATGTACTCAGTGCAGATGTGTCTCTGGGTATTAACTTTTTTCCCCTGACAGGTATGTGTTAGGACACGAGGCCATGCTGCGCATGAAGGAGGCTAATGTGCTAATCTCGGGGATGAAGGGTCTAGGAGTGGAGATTGCCAAGAATGTCATCCTGGCAGGAGTCAAGTCTGTCACTATCCAGGATGAGGGCATCACTGAGTGGGCTGACCTGTCCTCGCAGGTAGAGTGCTGCAGTACTTTGTGCTGCAGTTTGATGTGTGCTCCGTTTCAGCCTTCTCTGGTCAATTACAGTGTACTGTGTGATTGCAGTTGCATATTGAGGTGCACTGTTACAACAAACATTTATTGTCCTTCTTTTGGAATAAGTTCTTCAGCAAATATCTTATCTAGCAGAGACGTGTTCGCTGTTGGAAACTGTCTCTGAAGGTGGCACATACTGTTGGGAAGACAGTTGTTTGTAGTCCAGTTTTATTCCACTGGAATGTATCTAATTACAAATGTACAGACTGTAAACATGTGGTATGGTAGTTTGAAGTGCTGTGTCCCAATGCTGGGGCCCTGGATTTAATTCTAAACCTGGGGTGCTGTCTGTGTGGAGTTTGTGTGTTCATGTGGGTTTCCTGTGTTCCTGTGTTCATGTGGGTTTCTACTCGGTGCTCTGGTTTTCCCCCACAGTCTAAAGACATTCTAGTAGGTTAATAGGCTTCTGGGAAAATTGCCTTTTCATGTGCGTGAGTGTCTGTCCTGTGAGGGACTAGCGTCAAGTCCAGGGTGTATCCTGCCTCGCACCTGTTGCTTGCTGGGATAACCTCCAGCTCGCCCCCCCGATCCTGAGCCAGAAGAAGTGGTTAGAAAATACATGGATGAAAGACAATGTTAAGACTGTTGTTTCCCCCACTGTCCAACAAAGCTGCTGTTCTGTGACATAACCTTTGATCTTTCAGTTCTATCTGCGGGAGAGTGATGTCGGTCAGAACCGGGCCCAGTCCTGTGAGAACCAGCTGTCAGAGCTCAATTCCTATGTCAGAGTGTCCTCCCATATAGGACCGCTCTCAGAGGACCTCCTGGCCCAGTTCCAGGTATATCCATGACCACTGAAGGAGAAACAGGCCTTTTTGATTTTTTTTTCTTAGCCCAATACTATAAAAAGCATACAAAAGTTTAAAAATCAGCTTCAAAACTATATTGCCCTGCTTAAGGTGTATCTGAACCTAAACAAATGGTAAAGCTTAAGCTGTTCTGTCTGGGTGCCTTAGGACTGTGAGTGTATTTACAGTATATGAAGAGCTGTAAGTGAAGTGCCAATTTTGGACAGCAGGTGGGGCTAGAGGATCAGAGCACAGTGCATACAGTAGCAGCACTGTGCTTCTGTGAATGAATTCCCCTGTTGAAAATGGTATGGCAGTTAAGAATTGAGAAGCAGGTTCATTGTACAGGGCACAGAAGTGAATCCTAGAAAGTTGCCTCTATAATATTAGTTTAAAAGGATAAAAAAAGCCATGAGAAGGTTTAAACTTTCAGCCTCCAAACCTGAGTCAGTAAAGTCACACAGGACGTATTCTCAGAATCATGACTTTTCTTGTTTAATTATCCTCAGTCAGGTTATCTGTACCCTTTTTTAAAAAGTGTGTGAGGGATGGCTGGTATTTCAGTGACGAGTACAACAGTACAGTGCTGAAGTAGTATTCTAAAAAGCCCCCTTATCTTTGGCAGGTGGTGGTCCTCACCAATTCCTGTTTGGAGGAACAGCTTCACATTGGGAGTTTCTGTCACTCAAATGGCATTAAATACATTGTAGCAGATACCAAAGGCCTGTGTGGGTAAGGACGATGTTAGTCATTGTCTTTTTATTATTGCTTATAATACAAACCCATAACCTCATTCCACAAACCTGAAACAGGTAAGCTTTAACACAAATTCTAACTATAAATTAACTAAAAATTATGGAGGTACACATGCATTCAACATGCTGAATTTACTGTAATTTCTCAGTCTCTGGATTCCTCATAACAAAGGAGACTTTTCTTCACCTAAGTCAAATCTGCTTAAGGAGGACTGAAGGTAACTTGAATTTTGATAGTTTGTTCAACAAGTGATGGCTTTAATATTATCGGAATGGACTGTCTGTTTGATACAGCTTTTTAAATACCCTTACAATTAAATATTGTAACTGTTAAGATTATACTGTTGTAGTGAGTGACTTATGAAATGAAGAAACTAAGATTTAAATTATGTAATATTCAACAAATCTTTTTATTTCGAGCTGATCCATTTTTCATATGTTCAGAATGGTATTAAAAGAAATTGAAGAAATTGGATAGAGCTTTTCATCCCAAAGGACCCCAAAGCACTTTATAGTCATAGATAGGCACACTCTTCATATCTCACTGAACTGCAAGGACACACCAGGGATAGTATAAGGAAAAAAGCTAGGAAATTGTCCCACCTATTAATTAATAATTCCTTACACTTACTGTATGTAGTGCTTTTCTGGACACTCCACTCAAAGCTCTTTACAGGTAATGGGGACTCCCCTCCACCACCACCACCAATGTGCAGCCACCTTGATGAGGTAACAGCAGCCACAGTGCGCCAGTACGCTCACCACACCTCATCACACCAGTGGGGAGGAGGACAGTGATGTACAAAAATGTGAGACAGAAGAAAGGAAACAACGTTTCAGTTGTGGAGCCTTCTTGGGCTCCTTGAGCTCACACCCGAAGAAGGCTCCACAGCCGAAACGTTTCCTTTCTTCTCTTTTCATCATGGAATAAACCCATTACCTGTTTTAGGACTGTACATGGTCCATATCTTGTCACCCTCTATAGATGGGAAATCCCTCTTTGTTCCTGTGGGATAGAGCAAACTATACAGCACATTCTAGAGAACTGCTCAATCCACAGACTCAGAGAGGACTGCACACCCTCAACACAGCTGGACCAGGACCTGTCACTTGGCTCAAGGGCTTTGTATTTACTAAGTAAAAAAAAATCCTCTCTTCCTCATGGTACAATTGCATAACAGGGGAAACAGTGTCACCTAGTGGTCTATCTTCACCACTTACAGCTTTTCACATTGGACACGTTTCCATTAAGGTCTCCCATCCCAGTACTGACCAGCCCCAACATTGCTTCGCTTCTGAGATCTGACAGTATCTGGGAAGAAAGTCGTAACACTGCCTGCATCCTGGATAGTGTTCCGGTGCAGCAGATATTAAACCGTCTTTGACATTTGTTTGTCTTCTCCTTCCTTTGTAGACAGTTGTTCTGTGACTTTGGGGAGGAGTTTGAGGTGACAGATCCTAATGGGGAACCACCAGTTTCAGCCATGGTTGTTCATGTCTCTAAGGTACTGTATATAAAAATAGCAAAAAGAAATGGTACATATCTCCACAGTTCCTAGTAATACGAAACACTGGGGTTTCAAAACTGCTTTGATAGCAACATAAAAACAAATTCATCCTCAGATCACGCTGTGTCTAAAGCAAAATGGTTTTCAGTTACATGCATGTGGTTTTGCTAAATCTTATTAGCAATATTCTTCACATATAAACCCAACCTAATGCGGATACCAGGTTATAAGAATCCAATCCTGACAATTGGGGATTAAGAGGTTCTGAATCTTGATACAGACCGGTATTGTACTTTTTTTATTATTACATGTTATACAAACCCTAAACCCCATTTCATAAGCCTGAAACAGGTGAGCTTTAAACAACAAATATTTGAAATATTGAGGTACCAGAATTCAAAATTCTGAACTTTTATAATACAAACCTACAAACAATTCAATTTAAAGACAATTTAAAATGTCTTTCGTTATTAATTGCATTTATAACTATAAAGGCAGCAGGTACCTTATTTGTATTTTTCTTGTAGTAAAACTTGCAATATTACATGAGCAGGTGAGTGGTTTGACTTCATGATTTCCTGTTATTTCTAAGCAAATACAAGCAAGCTGTAAATGGTTTCTGACAGTTTATTGTCTGCATGTCACTACCTTGACAATGTTTTTAAATGTTTATTGTATAATGTAATTTCTCACAGTTTTCCAAGCACTTTCAAGGGAAATTCCCGTTCAGAGATGCATGAAACATATTTCAGAACTAGTTATTTGGACAAAGGTTTTGAAATACTTGACAAAAGGGAGAAATCGCTGAACACAATCCTGTGGGACAGTTAACGGAATGTAAGGAAGTTTATTAAGGTGACAGATATGACATCCATTGTGTAAAAAGGTAGATCCTTTTCATGTTTTATGTGCTTCAGGATATTATGTTAGTCAAAAGCAAGTGGTCTACTTTTCATAATTTTAAGTAAATATGCATAAGCAAAGGCATGAAGTAAAATGAAAAAAAATCATTTTCTGTGATGTCAATCTAGAGCCTGCATTTCATAAAATAAACTGAAGTGGATAAAAATGCTATATAATGAGAATTTTATCAGCTGCCCTTGTCTGAGTTCATAAGACTCCTTCAAAACTAAAAACGAACTTTGAATGTCTGATCTTTTTATCAGTCTTGCAGCAGCCATCGAATGGCATTGATGAGTACCATTGACATAGTGAACTTTGTTTTCATGTTTTGCAAAACAGATAGGGAAAACTTTTAGATAAAGAAAATGAAGGGAGTTGCAGTGTCATTCCCTCAACAGAAACACATTAGTCTTCTTATAGCATATTCGTCTGCTGTTTCTCATTATGTGAAGGCAATAAACATTCTCCCCAGTTAACAGTGCCATAATTACTATGTTTCACTTGGTTTATACTGATGTTATTAGAATTATTTCATTGTAATTGCTGTAGAATAAAATAACTGGGCAATTCCTGATTACTCTTGTACTTGATATTAAGATAAAATCAGGTTTGCTGGCAAATTAACAGTAGTGTATTCCTTCTTTGACATTATGGCTACAATAATCTAACCCAGTCATTACATGGTTGTGAAGTTTCTGTAACATAAAGTGGTGTCTTATTTCAGGTGGAGTAAGGTGGGTTTATTGTGGGGGAGAAAAGGCTGTTTTACATTTGGGGAACCATACGGGTGTATTTTAGGGCAACCCAGGAATAGTGACCTGCATGGATGAGCAAAGACATGGATTCCAAGATGGTGATCGCGTGACGTTTTCCGATGTCTGTGGCATGACGGAGCTCAATGGCCTCGGGCCAGTTGAGATCAAAGTCTTGGGTAAGTGTATACATTTCCCCACTTGATCCTAAGGAGCGTCATGAGATCTTTGCAGTCCTGTTACAGATGGCACAATATGGGAGTTTGTGTGTCTGTGTTGTTTTCCAGGTCCTTACACATTCAGCATTTGCGATACCTCAGGCTTCTCTGAGTATGAGAGGGGAGGTGCTGCCACAGAGGTTAAAAAGACAAAGAAACTGAGCTTTGTAAGTACTGATTAGGGGTTGAAATTCTGATTTCAGCGTCAATTTCTCATCTTATTTTGCCACAGTGTTCTGGATTACGACAGAGAGACAGTGACTTATTGAGGGATTATGCTGCCTGTCACTCAAAAACATAAAAATTCCCCAGGAGACTGCAAAAAGGCAGTTTTAAGCAGAAGCTGTGGGCCATTGGACTGAATTACTATAGCTTGTGTTGTCCCATCATTGTGTACTAATTCTGTTCAATGTCCTGCTTTTCCCTCTCTCTCATAGAAACCCATAAACGAAGCTCTAACTCAGCCTCAGATCACTGCGACTGATTTGGGAAAGTTGGAACGTCACCAGACACTGCACGTTGCTTTTCAGGCTCTCCACCGGTTCATTAAAGATTCAGGCAGACTGCCTAAACCAAGAGCACAGGTTAGCGTTCTAGCTGAAGCTGTGAAAATTTATTTCATAAGTGAATTATAACAACATTTATAACAATTTCCAATTGGCCCCTACCAATCATGGCCTCCTAATAAATCCCCCTCTATGAATTGGCTACATTACTCTGCTCTCCTCCCCACTGATGTGTGGTGAGCGTTCTGGCGCACTATGGCTGCCGTCGCATCATCCAGGTGGATGCTACACATTGGTGGTGGTGGAGGGGAGTCCCCATTACCTGTAAAGCGCTTTGAGTGGAGTGTCCAGAAAAGCGCTATATAAGTGTAAGCAATTATTAATTATTATTATTATTAACATACAGTAAGGCGATTTGAGACCGAATATGTTTTGTTAAACGAGTAACAGATAAGAACACTGCTGCATCTTAACTCCTTGCATGATGGTTTTTCTGTAGTGCCACAACTTGATATTCGAAATTTGATAACTGTTCCATTGACTCCAATGGAGGGAGTTCTTTGAGATACTGGCATTCAGGTAAAAATGAATGATCTGAAATGGTTTAAAGCGTAATTTTTGAAATTGAAAAGTACATTCCGCATTGCCGAGCCTGCAGTACTTCACTTTAATAAAAATGGCTTGATAAGAAAAAGATCCAATGCCTTTTTTTCATTCATAAGCTTTCATACACACTTTCTTTTTTGGCTTTTTAAGGGTGACGCAGAACGGTTGCTTGCATTGGCAAAGGAGTTGAATGCGGATGTCCTGAATGAGTTAGATGAGCACGCCGTGCGCAAGCTGGCATTCACAGCAGTGGGAGATCTGAGTCCTGTCAATGCCTTTATTGGAGGTTTGGCAGCCCAGGAAGTCATGAAGGTTAACGTTTTAACCTTGTTACACCACTCTCTGCAACACTGGGGCAGTTTGATTACAAACCATGAATAATGTTCCAGTCATTTCACATTAAAAAAAATCTGCGAACTTAAATGGTTGTTTGAAAAATGTAATAAGTAAAAGTTTTAAAATTGTAGCCATGGCCAGATGTTTGAGTGATCATTGGCAAGTAATGGGAAGCATATATATTGTTAGCAAAATGTCAAGGAAATATAAAACACAACACAGCTTTTATGTATGTCAGACGTCTTTATCAAAATTAAAACTAAAAACCCTTGTGATTCTGGAAAATAAGTCTGACTGCAACAGTCTGTACAGGATGTGCAATCCCGTAAGAAATTATCTTTCCTGTAAAGGAAATTTTGAGTTCAGTCTGTTCCCTCATATTTTAATGTGGGTTAAAACTATTAAGCCTTTACAGAAAGCATTATCACGGCCACAGTGTACTCTTAGTAATCCTTATACTGCAAACTGGAACCTCTTTCTGTACATGCCACATCATTTTAACAACACTCTTAGATCAATATACAGTGAGCAACTCACAATTTTAATGACAAAAACAGTGAAAAGAGTGAGAAGTTCAACGTATCAAATTACAATTTCTGGTGATCTTTTCCATGTTATCACTTTTTTAATTACTTGAATTTTAGGATTTTATTTTAGACTGCCTGGAGGCAGTCCTCCCTACAAGATATGATGGTGTGATTGTACCTCTTTGATTCAGCATATAACTAAGACACAGTCTGCAATGGGAAAGTAATGCCCACTGTTAGACTTGGCAGGAAGTGTTGTGTGTTTATTTCCTGTTTTGGTTAGCTCCCCCAGCTGTGCCTACTATTCCTTTCATGAATGCTTTCTTATGGGAGATAGAATAATTTTCCAAACTGGGACAAGACCCAGCGTAAAGTTGGTGAACATTTTTTATGCACTTGAACTTCAGACATGTTCATAACGTTCTCTGCAAATGTGCCCTTCTATTCTGAACTGTGGTGCTTTATTTCAGTGTTATTATGTCATTCCACAGGCCTGCAGTGGAAAATTTACCCCACTGTATCAATGGTTGTACTTCGATGCTTTTGAGTGCCTGCCGGAGGAGGACGAGGAGTTGATTCTGACAGAGGACACCTGTGCCCCTGTGAGTTCCCTGTTCACTGTATTACAGGTCTCTGGTTGCAGGGGAAAATCCTTACGGAATTTGTTTTTATGCTGAATAGTGGTGTTTGTCCAAATATACCATGACCAGCAAAAGGAATGGTAGAGCAAGGCACCTGAAGTGAGATAGCTGGGATATAAAGTCATCAGATATGCATGTCATGTGACCGTCATGATGTTCCAATAACTTCTCAGGCGTGTTAATGCTACCTGTGTCTTGTCTCCAAATGTATGTGATTTATAATTCAGAATATCTCATATATAATAGATATTTAGTATTATCATTTAAATATCTAGCTAAAAGTTTAGAATATCTTACAAACGTTTTTGTAATTTCAGAACTATTTATTGGATAAAAAAGATCATCTTAGTGCGTTATCAAGTGATAATTACAGCATAATGCACGTCTGTAGAGAGGACCATGATATGCATCCCAAGCATGTTAATTCCTGGCTATTTCCAAGATTCCTACTTGCTCTGCGCAGTAATGGTCTGAAATCTTTTGATAGAAGTGGGGATTAATGAAAGTGATCTGTTTAGTACTTCAAAGTTTTTTGCCATGGCATTTTAGGAGAGTGCTGCTCACGAGCACAGTTCTATCTGGCATCTTTGCTGAAGATGTTAAAATCCCAACCCTGCGCTTGAATTATTTCTTATTTTATGTTTACCGGCATGCACAAGTTTTTTTTTCTACTTTCTTCCTCCTGTAATTATTTTTTAAATGTCAGGAATTATTTCCCGATTAGGTAACAGGTTTGAGTGTAGAATGCTTCTCTTTCAGCGGGCCTGTCGTTATGATGGACAGATCGCTGTGTTCGGTTCTGCTTTCCAGGAAAAGCTTGCCCAGCAGCGCTACTTTTTGGTAAGTGCATTTCTGAGGAGTAACCACCAGAGGGCTCTCCTGGCATAAAAAGTAAATTAGAATTAGAAGTTGTAGTGATTTGCTACATCAGGGCTGTCATTTGTGTTGATAATGATACACTCAGGAAGTGACTCTGATTCAGGTGGAATTTCCTGTTAACGTTTTATTCTGACTGAGTGATGAACATTTATCTCTGCCGAGCAATGAAACCTTGGCACCAAGGGTCTCTTTGTTTGGATTCATAGAAGTGATTTGTTTTGTGCTAAAAGCTTTTTTTTTTCATATTGGAGAGAGAGAATGTGATATCTGCAAAATGGCACACATGTATGTCACAAATAAGTCTTTTTATATACACTGATGGAAAAAAGAAACGCAACACCTCTTCCTCCACACTCTGGCCCTCCCGTCTGCGTGGAACAGGCTGAAGAGTGACTCGTCCATGAATAGGTCCTGGTGTCACTGCTGACGAGACCATCACAGCCTCTGTCTGGCTCAAGCCTGTCGGGTGTGACGTCTAGGAGGTGTGAGCAGAGGGTCTCTGACAGGTCGCCTTGCTCTAAGGCCAACAGCATGGAGCCTCACTGTTGTGTCACCGATGCAGGCATTGTGTTTGTCGGCAGTTTCAGCAGCAGTACGGGTGGCAGATCTGAAACGATCTCTCAGATGGACCAGTCTGATGTGTCGTTCGTGCTCTGGTGTGATCACTTGAGGGTGACCGGATGTTGGACAGTCATCTGTCCTGCCCGGACTGCTAAAGCCTTCTCTGCACACAGTGGAGCTCCATAGTGTCCACAGTCCATAGTGTCCGGCAATGCTGGCACATGACATGCCTGCCTGCAGCATGCCAATGGCCCTCTTCCTTGCTTCTGGTGACATTCGAGGTATTATGGAATGCACAGAAAACAGACTAAGTTTTCTTAGTTTGGCCTTTTTCTTGCAGTGACCTAAGCTTTGAATTAAGGCCTTTTTAAAGGTGGCCTGATCAGGCATTGTTCCACCTGGACTTTGTTGGGTAGAAGTGCACCTAATGAGCTTTCGTGTGTTTGGAAGTTGTAATGCCTCACTGCACAAGCTGTATTGCTGGTCAGAGGGCTTAGAACAAATTGACAACTTTTGGTGAAAGTACATAAGCTATAACTATAGTATTCTCATTCTAGAAAATGTTGCATTTCCTTTTTCCATCAGTATATAAATGAACCTTTAAAAGGTTACTGACTGTAGCACAAGCCCGTTTCTGTCTGGGTGTCCCCCTTTTGGCAGTAGAAAGCAGGTGAGTGCTGATGGGAGATCGACAGGAGCACGCTCTATCTGGGCATGATGGGGATATTGTACAGGATATTCTTGGACATTGTTCTGGTCTCCATGCACGTCTGCTGATACCAGTCCATCATTCAGCACAGATTGCTCCTCATGACTTGGGTGTATTTAATTCTTGTAGATTCTTACAGTCCCATACAGTATAAATTAGACTGTGTTGCCATTGTGAATCCCAAAGAAAAACAGAGGGTGAAAAACAAAATGTATTTAGAATTGTAGGTTATCACTGTGCAAAAAATGTGACACCTTAGAATGGGATCCATGTCTCAAATGAAGTACATTTTAAATTATATAAATTTTTTTCTACCTTTTCTGATTTATGTTTAGTTAATATTCAATAATTAACATTTATATCATCTAAATAAACTGCGGTATGAACCTTTATCAAAACAATGTGATTAGCAGTGTAACACACAAAGCATATTTTAAAAATACTTGCAAGAATTTTTCTTTTTGCGAAACGTCTGGCTTGTCTTGACGAATTAAACCCTGTTTAGGTGGGAGCGGGTGCCATTGGTTGTGAGCTATTGAAAAGCTTTGCCCTGATTGGCCTGGCAGCTGGAAAGGGCGGGCACATCACTGTGACTGATATGGATTCCATTGAGAGGTCCAATCTGAACCGACAGTTCCTGTTTAGGACTGAAGACATTATGGTAAAAAATATATATATATGAGTGTTCGTTCTTCTGAGGTGCAGAATACAGCATTAATCTTTAAAGAGGGTTTTTTTTCATAAACTATAAATGTGCACCAAAAAAATCACTTTTCAAATCTTCTGCAACAAGTATGGACAACAAGTTACTAATTTCTAGAGATTGCACGGAGAAAAGAGTTTTATTTATAAGTCGTAATATTTATGAATGATTTGAACTAAAGTGTAACATAGCCTTAGGAATTAATAGAGAAATGTTGCTCTCATTTTTGACAGGAAAGTAGTAATCCCGAAAAGGAGAACTAGATTTATCCTGACTTAAAGGTCCTGGAGTTTTAGTCCATGTGCAGCACACATTTGTCAACATTGAGCTGTACATTAATCCTCAGAGCCAGATATTCTCACATTGGTGATTATGATCTTCTTTTCATAATCTGTTAATTAAGTCACCCTTTTCCGCAAACTGCAAGGATACATGAAGCAAAATGGCTGTAGATTGACTAAACTGAAATTGTACAACAAAGAAACTACTATGCATTTCAGTCTTGTTTATTTCTTGCAGTTCTTGGGTCAGATTGCATTTCTTTTTCCCCTACAGTTTTCCCACAAACTGCTATTATTAGAACCAGGAAAATGTCTTTCAGAAAGCATGTGCCCTCGACTGCTGTCAGCTTGAACTGTTTTATACCACCAGTTCACAGTAGAGGATCTATGATTAAATATTGATAGCTGTTTTTTGGTTCTTCTGGGTCTTAATTCTAAACCTTTGGTTAATCTTTGTGTTGTCAGTGAGGGTTTGTTAAGTATTTGTGTCAAAGGTTGCTGATAAGGAGAAGAAGTCAGAAGTCGTCTTTCAGTTTTTACCAGCGTATCGCATTGCATGCAATTCCAGTTAGCTTCTTTTTGAGATCACACTCCTACTGGACACTACCCCCCAACTCACTCAAAAGTCTATTTTTTATGACCCCATCTGGCCATGTCTCTTGAGTAAGAAATGTTTGATCCATGTTGGTTTTATGGGTCTGTCTCTCTTTCCTCCTCAGACATGCAGACTGTTGTCTCTCACCAGTCTCAGTGACATACAATGTTGAATTTCCTTTTGTTTGCATTTCTGTAACATGCAACTGAGGAGCAGCTGTGTCCAGCTTACATATTTAAATCAATATCAAACATTCAACTCACATCAAATTGAAAATGCAGATCATGGTTTGCTGTAGAAAGCTGAGAGATTCTAGACATCGTTACCCTGTGAAGGTCTCTTTCTTTTACCAACAGCCTCCTTGCCTTGTTTTTCCATCAATGTGGTAACATTGCTACATTCTGTTTTCTCGAATAAATTGTTCTCTAGGTATCTCTCAAACAACAAGCCCGCTTATTGATTTCAATCATGTAACTAGTATTAAAATATCTGCAGTCACATTCATCTGCACTGCAGTGTTTTCATCAGGATGGCCTGGTGCTTATGCTTTTTCCTTTCCCTTCACCTGATATACCTGCTCTGTTCCACCATCTTCCTGTTCACCTCAGAAATCCAAATCGGAAACAGCCATCCAAGTGATCAGGAGAATGAATCCTGCTCTCCACATCACGGCCCATCAGAACCGAGTAGGTCCGGAGAGCGAGCAGGTCTACGGACATGAGTTCTTTTCCCAACTCGATGGTGTTGCTGCTGCTCTGGACAACATTGAAGCCCGTGAGTCCTGATCCTGGTGTGGCAGTACTGCTGGTGTAGTTTAATACGCTTCTGACTGCTGTTTCAACACGTCAGGAACAGCAGAAAAAGCATATCTGCCACTGCAAAAGCAATGTTGTCAACTCAATACATGGCTTCAAGTTAAAACCTGACTTAAAAGTCTGCAAAAACAGGTTTTTATGTCTTTACACGGGTCTTTCTCACATCCCACCACATTGATGTCACCTCACTAATCTGTCTCTAAACCTGATATTGTTAGCTTTTATCTGAGCCACAGTAAATAAGGTTTACAGGTGACCTTAAAAAAGCTTTTGGTCCTCAGATATAAAAAAAGCTTTATTTAAAAAAAATGCACAAGAATAGATTAATAAAATCTCTTAACGCATGGATAACGTTAAGCTCCACGTGCATCAGAAGTCTGTACCAGCACCCAAGCTCACAAAATTTCAGATGGTATTTGCATAAGCATTCATAAACTTGAGAGAACGGTGTTTAACTACAGTAGCCACACTGACTTACATAAGCAATGCAGTCTCCGGCCCTTACAAGTCACTGTAAATTACTTGCTTACATCCTAGAAAATCGCTTGCTTTAAGCAACAATTAAAAAAAAAAATTATACCTGCCTACCTTTTTCTTCAACATTTTTAGCTGTCATGAATGCATTGCAATACACGGGATAACCTGCTGTCTTAATGCACACTCTTGCATGTTCTTTAGGAGTGTACGTTGATGGGCGTTGTGTTCAATACCAGAAGCCCCTTCTGGAAGGAGGAACTCTAGGTGCCAAGGGGCACACCCAGGTCATTGTGCCCTTTCTGACAGAACCTTATGGACCAGCTAAAAGTGGGTCCCAGAACTCATTCCAATTGTGCACACTCAAGAACTTCCCATATCGAATTGAACACACCCTTCAGGTAAGGTATATGCCTTTTTTACATCTAAATCTGTTTAAAAACATGTTGCTCAGTTCTCCTTGGCTGGATTGACAATTTCAAATTAAATAAAAGTGAGCTTCCAGTGACCTACAACAGCTCTCTTGAGTTCTACAGAGCACTTCTGTACCCCAGCATCGATGCCCTGCGCCTGAGCCTCTCACTGCAGAGCTTTTTCATAACTCAACAAGCCAGCGCAGGAGTCTGGGTTGTCAGGGCCTAACAGGAAATGTGGTCCAGCTGGTGTGCAGGTGCTGTTCACAACCTTAAGGCTTTGCAGGCCACATTGTTTCTACCTCAGAGAGAAAGAGCAACAAGGGGTTGCTTTCCAAACATGCCAGTGAAGAACTGTCAGCCATGCTAAGAATGCTTTTCTTTTTTATTCTTTTTCTGTTTGTTTTGAAAACATTGGTTTTTCAATGCTGCTTTCCAAAGAACAAATAACACAAAACCTTTACAGTTTTAAGCCAACTCTTAAAAATTCAAACTAGTTGTTTGTATTGATATCTTATATCAGCTTTCTTGGTGTGGTTTTGCTGCACAGTTACGATTTATTAATATCTTGGAACATATCCTTTGGGAGATGTGCGTCTCCAAAAGACCACCTGGTTGCTAAAATATTGAGGTTTTCCATTTAAAAGGATTTAGCTGCCGAATGTTTCTGTAACTTTTTTGGTACTTTTTTATTGCCGATTCTTAGGAGTTGGTTTTGTCTTAACTATGTTCTAAATAGGATTTTGTCTTCACTGTGCTGTTAGTTGTGGAACAAATGTTGTAATTGTGTCATTAACAGCTCTCTGGCAGCTGCAGTAAAGGTTCTAGCACTAGCGAAGCAGACACAATAAACACCTAATCACGATGCATGACAGCTATTACCTTGCATGGTAAATGCAGGCTGGCAGCAATTCCACCACTATCTTCACTCCAGACAGCTAATTGGTTTTCATTGTTACAGTAGTTCATTGACTTTTTTAACAATTTTTTGAGAATTTTATTATACACCTACTGAGTTCGGAATCTCCTGTTATGTGTTTGTCATGTCTTGGCTTACAGACATGAACCCTGTAACTGCATACAGGGGAAATACGTGTAAGCAGTGTAGGCTCCTATCTGCCTGCCTTTGACCCACTCATATTTTGACATGTCACAGATTAGGCATCCCCCCTGCTGGATGTCAAAGGGGGGTTCTATACATCCAGGATCTGAGAGAGCCGTAGCCATCAAATCTGAACTCTTCTCTCAGCAGAGCTCTACTAATTGTACAGAGACATTTGTGGAACCATGGTCACAGCACAGTTGGCTGGTGACTTGGCCCAGGTTTGAACCCATAATGCCTGCATCATAGTGCTTGACATACTGTATGCTGAGGCAACTGCCTTACAGGCTAAGCCACTTAGGATCCCAGAGTTCCACCAATAACTGATCTTAACTTTTGTGTTTGATAGCATAAAATAAATAGTGTTGGGGATGGTAGCAAAAGAGATTTCAAAGAGAGCAAGGCATTTTCAGACATCTCTAATTCAGGGACAGTCAACCCCGCTAGGTATTGGGTTATGGGTTGCATGTGAGTTATTCACTTAAGCGGTTTAGAGAGCATTTGAATTGAAGACCCTAACTTTCTACAGCTCTTAAGGGCCACAGTTGTTTAATTGTATTGAACAAAATAAATGTCATAAAACTCTTGATTTCAAAGACTTAAGGCCTGCTACTGTATGTTGCGTCTCTCCAGGGCTTGTCATTTGTGTTCCTAATACATTTCCTGTCTTCCTAGTGGGCCAGAGACCAGTTTGAAGGGCTTTTCAAGCAGCCAGCAGAAAATGTTAACCAGTATCTTAGGTAAATGTGTTTTTTTTAATATTGTTATTCTTAATTATATTCATAGAGGCTGAGTGTTCCGTAGTCATTAAAAAAGCTAGATAGTGTCACAGTTGAAATACTGCAGATATTGTATGCTTTCGCCATACATTCTTGACATTACATCAGGATTTGTTCTGAATTTGGACTTTTTGGCAACCTTACTCTGGTTGCAGACTTTATATACACACCCAGTTTGGAATCGCTGCTGTTTAAGATTAAGCTTCACAACTTAAACAACTGTGCCCCACAGGAAGAAGGAGGACCAACAGATTTGCTTCTACAGCACGTCCATCTGTCAAAGCCATTCATCTTTTGACATGCTGCAAGTTTCACAGTGCCCTGCTTGAGATTTAGCACCAATTAGGGGAACAGAATGTCATTGCTGGTTTTCAATTGCTTTGTCTTTAATTTTAGTTAAATACCATTTTTCATTGTATTTAATTTATTTGCCTTTGCTGTGCTGTATGTTGTTTCAGGTTTACATGCAGTTCTTTATTAAACGTTGTTTATGTGATGCTATACCAATTAAATGTGTTTCCATAACCACAGAAAGGGTAGGTCAGTGTTTCTCCAACTGGGCCCAAATGACAATTGAAAGGACTTGTTCAGCTCCATTCTCATGCAATCCTGTATATTCCTAGAGTGTTTAAGGATGAACTAAAATCTTTTTTCTTTATTTCCTGCTTCTACGATTCAAAACAAAGCATTCTGCAGTCGTCTGTTGTATATGCAGGCCATGTGTGGATAAGAAATGGCATATCATGGCATGTTCAGTCAGCTACTAGAGACCAGGGAGTAAACCCTAGCCAGCATTCTAGAATGTCCAATGGAACCCAACCTGCATATCTTTGGGAAATGGGATGAGACCAGAGTGACTGGCAAAGACCTATTTGAATCTATGAGTGTCATGCAAATTCCACACAGATGGGTGTCTTAGGTTAGAATTAAACACAGGACCCTGAAGCTGTGAGGCTGTCCACCAAGGCAGCATGCCACTCTATATAAAGAGGACTTGGAAGCACTAGTCAATGAGAGAAGGACTGAGGGGATGAGGTACTGGCATTGCCTACACTGTTCCCTCCATGCATACAAGCACGATATTAATCTAATTTGTCAAAAAAACACATTTAAAAAGGTTTTGCAGGGCATGATTCAATAAATCTTCTGATAGCATTGTTTTTTGAAACAGATGTCCCTCACTTAATTTGTGCCGAGCTGAGCATTTGAAACCCACAGGTTGCAGAGGACATTGTTATTAAATAAGCCTGCTCATTATGACCTATAATTAATTTATGTATGGATTTAATTTGGAGCAAGCTGGAATTGAAAAGCATGTCTTTCAGGTAAAATGGGAGATGACGTACAGTAATACTGTTGACCCATGTAGCGTTAAATCCATCGTCCGGGTAGTTCAGACAGATAATATAGGTGAAGAATTATTTGGCTGGTTTGTGGTAAATGGATGTGGACTATCAGAAATGGCAGATTGTTTTATACTACTCCTGATCTGTGCTCAAATTTAATATAACACCTATCTTTGATAAACTCTGTCTTATGTACTGTATCCTGTTGGCTCCCAGCTGAGCCAGAAAGAAGTCATCACCCCTTTCCCCAACGTTGCCAGATGAGGCGATAAGATCTCTATATAAGCCTTATAAATCAGTCCAACTCTACCCAGTCTATTCTCATTAAAGGCCTGGTTTGATTCATAGTCTGTAATTGTTTTTGTAGACTTGATAAATCTTAAAAAGATAAAACATGACCCACCTTAAAAGGCAAGAACCCTTCACTAGGCCAGCGAAGCCGTCGCAGGGAGAGCCAGGGATTACAGCACGTCCAGCTCCAGACATGTCCAGATAAATTTAATGGGCAGACTTCCCGGTGGAAAGCAGTGAAATACATGAATAAACCAGAGTTCTGTTTTCATAACTAGTCTCTGTCACTTAACCCTTTTCTGCCCCACAGAGGAAGGGAATCTCTTCCGTGTGTTGCCCCACGCAGACCTCAAACATAATTAGAGTGGCTCTTCTGTCACAGTTTAATTCAATTGACAGTCCAGCATTTAATGCACTGTTGGTTTTAAATCAGCTGTACAGCATGTTCAGAACCACTTACATTACCTGTGTCCTGGAGCCACCTTTTGGATTTTTTTACATTGAGAATTGAACTTTCTCACCAGAAATCAAAGTCTCTAAACTTTATACAGAATGATAAAAAGAAATTAGATGTGGGGGTGGGGTGGGGTGGGGGGGAGGCAATAAAATTTGAAGTCTGTTTAAATTTGATGCAGATGAAGCAGGTCTATCTTTAGTCCCAGCAAGAGCAGAGGGGTTTAAGATGAGAAATATGTTACTAACCAGATGACAGGCAAATCTGCTCTGCTTCCTGTTTAGGCCTCCGAGTGTAAACATCTGCAACTAATTTAGTTTTACTTTCCCCCCGTGCTGTTTAAAGTAAAGGCTGACTGTTTATAGAGAGTGAGTTGAGGAACCCCTGCGCTCACACTGGACGTGGAGAAGCATGTGAATGAGGCAGATATCATCGAGGGAGTCGTATCTTGGCCAGATTGTTTGGCGCTTGAGTTTGCTGAGAACTTATATGTATGGAGACCTTGGTTCTCGTTCCCAGCTCCTTGGCAGACCCTGTTAGCCTTTTTCTCATTCATTCTCCTTCAGATTATAGTGTAAATCCCCATCAATGTCCCGGAGACATTTGGTGACAAATTAAATGCATCACCTCTCCCACCACTTGTCTTAGTCTCAGCTGCTCTTACCCCATTACTCAACAGTACATCTACTATATGTTTGCCTCTGCTACTCTCTGTGCCAGTGCCTCAGTTCTTGGCAACTGAAATTCACATTCTATGCTGTTATTGCTGTGCCTAATGTCTCATTTATTTTACAGTTGCTTTTTCAATCAATATAAACTATATAAGAGAAGAGGTGCTGCTGCTGCTAAGGATTTATGTATTGCAATCTCGGAGTTCTGCAGCAGAAAAACAAAATCGAGCAAATGTCTATGAGTCAGTCAGATCAAAGTTGTACCCTGTGGTGTTCTGTGTGCTTGATGTGTGTCTGTGTTGCCCCCAGTGACCCTGGCTTTCTGCAACGAACTCTGAAGCTGGGGGACACAGAGGCTCTGGAGATTTTGGAGGGAGTGTACAACAGCATTGGGGAGCAGCGCCCACAATGCTGGGAGGACTGTGTGAGCTGGGCCCGGCGGCACTGGGAGAGTCTCTATAATAATGCCATTCTCCAGATGCTGCACTGTTTTCCTCCAAATGAGGTAAAGCTATCTGCACACCATCCACTAAACATAAGAGAATAAACACTTACAATTTTTAGACAGGAGATGGCACTGCATGCTGTGCAGTTGTCCTGCTTTCAAAACCAGAGGGCATTTCCTGTTTACAGAACAATCAGAAGTCATAGTGATTAGACCTCAAATGGTTTTTGAAAGATTACATTACATATAACATTCTAAGCCATTTTACTTATTTTGTGCCCTATTCAATTTTGCCACCTTCATTATTTTATTGATGATCAGCAAGATTGATAAGGTGCTGGTTCTATTGAAATGTACTGCAGTGGAGTGGAACAGTCTGGAAAGCCACATGTAGAGTAGTTACCAGGCATTGAAGAAACTCAAAAAGTGCTCTAAGCAATGAAGAAAGAACTCGCCTTGAATAGTGCCAAAGTTACTAGAAAGTTTCGGGTTAAGGTATTGCAGAGGTATGAGTACCTGCTTGCTGTTTTTTTTTACACGGGAGTGTTTTTAGTTGTAATTCTTAGGTCATACCATATAGAGTACCAGAGCTCTTTATCTCAACCATGTTTTTTAGCATTGAAAGCACTCTTAGGGAAGATTGTAAATATACATAAAACGCAGAATTTTTTAATTTGCTCAGTATTTAATAACATGTTACTACTGCCATGAAGTGCCTTTCCCCTCTAGCAAGGAACATAAGCCCTTTCCAAAGAGCTACGCTTGGCCTTTCAACATTTCAAATTAATGTGCTTGTTCATTTCCCTTAAGCCACATCATTGAATTTTGGATGTCAAATAATAGGCGTCTGCTTCTAAGAAGCAATAAAATGCTGACTTTAATAGAATCCCAGGAGAGGAGGTAATAATAAAGAAGGAACATCAGTTTAAATGAACTGACGGGGGAAAATGGTTCTTTTGTTGTTGGTATTGTCATTGCTTTAAAGTTGGTTGGTTGAAATTGGATAGAGTTATCCAACAAAATACACATTGCAACATAAATGATTCCTGGTGGAATTTAATTTCTTAATAGAATACCATTTTTTAACATTATTTGCATTTCTTAATTGCAAAATGTAAGATCTCTATGGTTGTTTATTGCTTACAAAAAACTTTAACTGACTTTTTATCGATTCTCTACACAAGTATTTCTACATAGTCTTTAAGATTGTACATAGGCTCAAACAGAGGTGCACACCAAAACATAGACGGTGGCTATGCAGAGAATCATGAAGTTACAGTCATACAGGAGATGCAGAGTTATGTTGCCTTACAGTCTGTGCAGAACTGTTTGAGTAAAAAAAGAAAGCAAATATGGAATTTGTTTGGGGTTCAAATGACAATGAAATGACACATCATCATATGCGTTCCTTGTTCATCTCGTACAATTCTTAATGGATCTGTATTTGTGTTAATTATCTAAGTTTTTGTATTGTGTTGGTGCTCTTAATCTAAAGAGAAATGCATACTGTAGATCTCAGTCTACTCTAGAGTCAGCAGTGTTTGTAATGTACTGTCTCTCATCACTCCAGGTCAGTCGTCTTCAGCAGTAAGCAGTAAGGTCCTCTTAATCAGGAATCTGCCAAGATAACCCTTCAGTGCACAGTAGCTAGCACACAGCAGGACAGAGTGTGACCATTGTGTAGGCCATTGTGTTTCTGCTTGTCTGGCAGATTATACTGTAGCTTTCACTGCCTCTTTTTGTGGTAGAGTGTTTAACCTCTGTTCCTTTGTCCAAAGACAAATTGTTGGATAGTCTTAATTGTCTGTTGTATTGATAGTATTGCTTATCTGTTGCATTCCTCAAAATGTTTAATGCAAAAAAGTCCCTACTAAATTAATTGAGCACATATATTATGGATCCAGCTACATAATGTATCATACTGTATATATTTATAATATATATTATAAATTAAAAGAAAAATAAGTTTTGTTTTTTTGTTTTCCTGTTGAATCCAACTGTATTAAATCAACATTTGCAAACAGAGATAATAAATATCAACTTCCGAATCAGGCATTTTGGCCAGCTTTTGCATATTTTCTAGCGAAAATATTTTGCAGTTGTGTGAAAAGGAAATATTTCTTTTTATTTCTCCCTGCCTCTTCCTAATTCTCTCTCTTCTCTCTCAGAAAACAAGCTCTGGTCTGCCCTTCTGGTCAGGACCTAAAAGATGTCCTCATTCCTTGACCTTTGACCCCAACAATGTGAGTGTTATTCTATACAGAGGCTGGACGTGGATAGAATCCAGCAATTACCCCCATTGTACATGAAATATAAGATATCCAGCCAAGGAAAAAACTTGAATGTTATCAAAAAGTTAAGAATACACATGACTATGTTCATCACAACTTTTGTACACTTTATTATCATCAGTCTGTGACCGAAACATCATGATGAAGATTTCTGATCTGTCCAGTATTCTAGCTCATATCTCATAATTTAAGGGATCTTACTGTAGATTTAAAACTTGACGTTAATGAGAAAAGGATTGATTTCTGGTCTTAAAATGTGTGTGATATTCATACTGTACCTGAAACTGGTCAAGTAGAGAAAAGCTTCTTCAAGAGGCATAAACACATCAACACAGTTTTGGATTTTTCCACATTTTCCCTCCTTCTGAATTGTTTCTTCTGTAGTTGTCTTGAGTTTTGCTCTGCTTCAGGCCTGAGCCTGTCAGTCTCATGAGAGTACATTACATTATTCACAAATTATTGAATCTTTTTTAATTAGAGGCCACTGAAATGCTATGTCAAGATATTCGATATGGGATAATTGTGCTTTGAGATGTGAACCTTTTGATCCTGTTGTAATATGTCTTTTTTCTTCCAGTTTATTAGAGCTTTCAAGATAGTATTTTTATTTTCAGAACAGAAATGAGAATACATAGTTTTACTAATACATTCTGTTCTACAGACCACCCATATGGACTATATTGTAGCTGCAGCAAATCTCTATGCTCATACCTATCGTATTGATGGTACCAGAGATAGAAATGCCATTCTGAAGATCCTCCATACAGTCAGAGTGCCAGACTTTTCTCCCAAATCCAATGTGAAAATCCACCTTACTGATCAAGAGATGGAAGAGGACAAGGGGACAGTGGGTGAGTATAAGACAGCAAGAATAAGAACAAATGAGCAGTCTTTCTAAACATGACAGATTAACGTGCTGAGTGGTTGGAATGAATATGCTTTGCTTTGTCTTGCATTTTCCAGACAAAATCAAGCTGGATGAGCTGAGCGAGAAGCTGGCATCCCCAGAGACATTTAGTGCTTCCAAGATGTTCCCAGTGGAATTTGAAAAGGTAACTTTGAGGACATGGATCACTTAATATTTCAGTGCACATACTAATTGAGACATCTGTCGTTGCTGGACAACTGGAGAGTGCTGCAGTGATCTTTGTGCAAGTAGGATGGGATTTCTTCATCATACCGCAGTTTCATAAGCCCTGCTAAACCAAAACAGCTGAGGTCAGGTAGAGTATAACAGAGCTTCTTTTTGGGGGGGCTAAGCTGAACAGTACTGGATCTAGATCGACCCTAATAATACTGTTCTCTGGTTTGTACTTATTTCTTTGGTTATTTCTTATGTTCCCAAATACACACAGAGCAGAAACATAGTGCCTGTGGGATGTGAGCTTCCCTGACTAACAGAAAGGCAACAATGAGGTTAATCTTTTCATACATGGAGGGAGATCTGAATTAATTTTGGTTGTAATAAAAGTAGGATTATGAAAATGGCAAATAGCATAGACAGTCATAAATAAACTTGTTTTCCCAAAAGGTAGCATTAAAAACCTAGTTTTCAGGAAAGTGTTAAGCTGCATATAATTTGGGCAACCCAATATCTGTCTTAACCACCATTGATACAGCTTGTGGTTCTGCAGCGGTAACAGCTTTTTGAAGTCCTGTGCCCAATTTACCCTGCAGCGAGCGCTTCAAATACCTGTACTATTGTGCCAGCATTTTTATCCCTCGCCTTTAATTGAGAAGGAGTCCACTGTTTTGGAGAAAAGAAAAAACCTGATGACGGAATGACGAGCCGTTCTTGAAGCTCTCTGTATCCAATTTCGCAGCAGCTGGGGTCCGTTTTCCTCACTATCCTCTGCCCCTCTGGCTCCGTCTTCAGTCTCTGACTGTTAGTTGACTGATGATCAGCTTGCTCACATTGGCTTCTGAATTGGTGTTGTAATGATCAATCCTGACCCTCACTGTTTGTGTCTTTTTACATTGTGTGGAAAGTGTCAGTTCCCATTTTTAAGAATTAAGCATACATTATATTTAAACTTTTGCCATTTTAGTGCCCACTGTGCACAGGATGGGCTGCTCAGTGTCACCGCTCTTTGGGGATATAACTTCCATCTGTTTTAAAAATTGTTTAGAAACACCAAACTAACTGTGACACAAAACTGGAATTATTCAGAAGAGCTAAAGAGCTCATTAAAATGAAAGTAAATCCCCTTTATAAGCACTGAAGATACATTGAGAAACTTTCCCTGTTTATTTCAGTTTTTTGGATTGCATTTGGCACTTCTGAAATCAAACGCATTAAAATAACCAAGCCGAAAGCACCAAGTATAAATGTTTACTTCATATTTGTTTTTTGTTTTTTTTTCTAATTAGAAATAAATGTTATGCTTTTGTAAAGAAAGGACAAAAACAAACTGAAATCTCCTGCTACGAGTTGGTTTTTGGTTGCTAATTAAGACCTTAAGGGCTAACTAAAGATTTAGCAAACAGCCTAATTTCTATGCCAAACCTTTTTTTTATAGGATGACGACACTAATTTCCACATGGATTTCATTGTTGCTGCATCCAACTTGAGAGCTGAGAACTATGACATCCCCCCAGCGGACCGCCACAAGGTGAGAACTCCATCATGGCATCACAGTGAGTGGTTCAATTCAGCCTCGGAAATGGACACGCATGTTGTATGAAAGAGCTATGAATATATACAACACCCTGAAAAGTTGGGGTTATTCCATATCTATTATTTTACTATTCTTTCTAATTGCTGTCTGACAACATAGTATTCTGGATCAAAGATAAGTAAGTACATGAACTATATTTGATCAGTAAGAACATTTTGTAAGTTCCATTTACCTTTTCCTCTTGTCTCTGTAGATTTCCAGTGTAAGATCAAAAAAACGTTTTAGGGAGCGCAAAGTCTAATTCCAGTACAAATAGTCTCCTATATTCTCAGATTCATATGAGAGGTTTATGGTGGGCCACTCATACTATACTATCTTAAGCTTTGCTTTCCCTTTACCTTCTGTGTCTAAAATTGCTATCATGGGGTTTTACCTAAACTAAATGTATAAAATCGAAAAATAATCTTTAAGCACTTTAACTCTTTATTAAACTCTTAAACATAGTCAATTTAAATCCTCAACGGACATAAATGTGACCTTAGATTTCCTCTGACAAAGAGATTGAGGATACCCTCCTTCAATCTGGCCCTCATTTGTCTGGTTTGGCAGTCATTCATTGTCTTCAGAGGAGAAGAAAACTGCAGACTGTGCACAGGGCTACACCCTCCATTGCTGTCTCTCAGTTGTGAGCTAATTCCTTTTCTTTCCCTGTCTGGTGCCTTGACTGAGTAAATGGAGAAGGACTGACTCCAAGCCCTTCCCTAATTGTATATCTGTGCAACACCTGCCCAAGCAGACCTGAAGATAAGAGGCTTAATGGTGCCGAGCTGTGGGCCCCTTATCTTCTTTATAAAGCTGAATTAATCACTATGTTTTACCTGTCCTCGGAGTGTAGAGCCGTGCCCCGTCTCCCAGTCAGTCATGCAGGTTGTCAGGGAGGGGCAGGTTGGTTCAGGTAGGCAGAGTTGAGGCGTGTGCTGCGCAGCACGTGGAGAGAGAGGTCAGGGCAGGAGGAGGGGGCTGAGGCGTGTGCTCTGCGGTGTGTGGAGTGAGGCCTGGATGGGGGGGGTTAGTTGAGCCGTGTGCTGTGGGGGGGGGGGGGAGATTGAGACAGGTACTGTGGGGTTGTATGAGGAGGGGGTATGGAGAGATTGAGACAGGTACCGTGGGGTTGTGTGGGGAGATTGAGACGGGTACTGTAGGGTTGTGTGGGGAGATTGAGACAGGTACTGTGGTGAGATTGAGACGGGTACTGTAGGGTTGTGTGGGGAGATTGAGACAGGTTGTGTGGGGAGATTGAGACGGGTACTGTGGGGTTGTGTGGGGAGATTGAGACGGGTACTGTGTGCTATGGATTAGTGTGGAGTGGCAGTGTGGAGGGGTTGAGAAGTGTGCTGTGGAGTGTGTGTGTGGGGGGAGTCTGGTTTATTCTCCTCGCGTGCCAACATGGATTGGGAAAACTGAATGGGAGGTTCAGAGGCAGATCACATTGTGCATCAGTGCTGTTGTGTCTGTCTAGGCTTGTCCATGGAAAGCCACGACCTATTTATTTTCCAGCAATACAGTTTGCACATCTCCCCAGGTGCTGAAGTTATTCAGCTTATGGTTTTGTTTGAATGTTTTCTCATAATTGTTTTTCCCCAGGAAAGCTGACCTGACGCAACTAGTTTATTTAGGCAACCTGTTAAGAACAATTACAGCTGAGGATTTTAAAAAAGGCAACACTTTTGTTCAAGAAGGCAATAGAAGTTCACAGACCCAGTTCTGTCTAGCATTTTCAGTATATATTTGATTTAGATCTTGTACAAATTGTTCATTCACTGCAATTGACTAGATAGAAAACCTTTTTTTTTATTTTGAAAGTTGATTAGCTTCTTTTCTCCTCAGGCAAAAATTTATTTTTCCAAATTCAAGGATAACTGGTAGGTCAAATAAGGTCCAGCTGTAGTATTTATTTTTGGTAGCTTAAGGTTGCACAAAATATTCTAATAACATATAGCACAAATTACTTATCCATAGCCTATAATGTGCTTTGCCTTCTGAGGAATTTCATGTAAGATAATGAAGAAGGAAAATGTAAAGGAATGCACAAAGCAGTAATTTCAAATGCTGTTTTCATATTCACTATTTAATAGTTGATGTTTATCCCACCAATAGGTTTGAATTTTATATCTAATAAAAGAGCAGGAAAAAATAAAACTGAGTGAAATTTATAGCGAATGTGTTGAATACTGTGAACTTGGGTCTTACTTTATTAAAATACAATGTATGGTATTATAGTGCTTTAGCACTTTTTACTGTGCAGTCCGTTACAGTACAGTATCTTTATGTAGAGCAAGCTGATTGCTGGACGGATCATCCCTGCTATTGCTACGACCACGGCTGCTGTGGTGGGCTTGATGTGCCTGGAACTGTACAAGATTGTCCAGGGCCACAAAAAGATACGCTCCTACCGCAATGGTTTTGTGAACCTGGCTGTCCCGTTCTGCGTTCTGTCCGAGCCTTTGAGATCACAGGCATTCACGGTGAGTATCTGCTGGCTGAGGCCTCGCTGTCACTGTTGGCAATTTGCTGGCTCACTATATTTTCACTGCCTCATAGAGGGCTAATGCAGGATTTCAGGAATCGAATGCTTGAAAAGTTCAAATGTCACTCTTTTATGTTCCAATATAACATCTCATAGATTATTTAATCTGCTCTAAGAGTGATGATAATACAGGAGATTGGTTGTACCCAGTGTTTTCATGTAGTATTTTTTGCCTTTCATCCTCTAAATGTTGTACAGCCCATATCTTTTCATTTTATTTAAAAATAACTTGTAATTGAGGAGTGGTGTGGATAAACTGTCTGCTGCTTGATGCAACCATATTTTGATCAGTAATTCTAATTATAACAGTGGTCAACACCTGAATAATGCAGGACAGGATTTCTCTGTAATTCCTGTGTGATGTAGAATGTCATTGAGGACCTTGTCCAGGATCATGACCCATCTGTACTTTTCCTCAACCTTTTGAAGAGAAACATGGAACCTTATACTAGATCCTGACTGTCCTCTTTGAGAGAATTGGTGAAAGAGACAAAGCATTCAAAAAATGTGTAAGGTATATTATAATAAATGAAGAATTTAAATACTAGAAAGTATTGTGTACAATTCTGTTGCTGCATTGTACAGTAAAGACAGTGCTGTCCTAGAAAGATGTCTGAAAGAAGCTACAGTAATGATCAGGCTTAAAAAATAATTCCATATGCAGAAAGGTTGAAGAAACAGATTATGTTTAAGAGAGAAAATCACAAGTAGACATGACAGAATTGTTCCAAATTTTGGAAGGTATTGATCAGGTGAGCTCCACAGATTACTTCAAATTCAAGAAAAAGTGCTTTTAGGACAACAAGGGGTACTTCTTTATCCAAAGGGTGGTGGGTATCTGAAAAAAAGATGCCATGTTATTGTAACTTTTTAACTGGGAATCTTCAGGAAGCTGCTTTTGCTTTTTATCGTTTTGTTACTATATTTTGTGTGTAGCATGCATTTCTATACAAGCATTTAAATACTACTTGGCACAGCAAGGACTTGAGCTGGAAATCACTTCATCATCTGTCTGACATACCATTTTTAAGAGACAGGTTTCAATTTTTTACAAGAGGCCGTTATATTTTTTCCTCTTTTTTTTCATTTTAAATCCCTAAGGAATATAGCCTCAATGTAACTGCATCCTTTGGGTTTGGAGGTCAGTCCGACCTCTATCTCTGATATTTATGCCAAATGGATTAATGGTTTTCTGTGTTTCTTTTGTGTCTATTTCTGTGTGAGAGCCTTTACGCTTAAAGTTGGGGCCATGCCTGCTGGTGTGATTGAGGGAGTGCATGTCTGTCTGTGAGTTAATAACTTCCTGTCCAGCCGGACTCTTCATAACAAAGTCAAGGAGCGCATTAGACTTTTAAACTCCAGCTATCATCTGCCTGGCACAGGGCCACTTTCCCAGTGTTGCAGACAGGCCTCTGTACACCAGTTCTGTCTGTGTGACCTCTCACTCTGGGACCCATCAGCCACAGGAAACAGGACCTGAACTTTATATTAAACACACATCAACTTTATAAACTCAGCTCCTTGGAGGACCGCCAAGGAAAAGAGAAACAGCTTTAGATACTCCAAAATCCTGACAACCTCTTCAACTTTTCATACGATACAAACGGTTTTACCTTTTTACTGTGTCAACCCCTCCCAAGAGCCTCTCCAGCTCTCTTCCAGAAGACTCAAAACTACTAACAGTGAGGAAGGAAGCATGGGAAAAACACCACCATGTGCTGCCCACATATCTTGTATACTGTAGCTTGTTTCATTGTAATAAATGACCCCGTTACTTATTTCAGGTTGTCAGATGTATTGCTCCTGTTTTATTAAATTTAAATTTACTTCCAGTTTTGGCAATGTAAATGCTTTATAATTTTTTTTTTCTCCAAATCTGCTTGGCTTTATTAATGTCAGTGAGTTTGAGTTCATGTGGTGCTTAGTAGATCCAAATTAAATCAGAAGTGAGAGATGAGAGACAGTTGGCATTGGTAATTGTACAGTAAATACGCAGTGGAAAACAATAATGCAAGTACCTTTTTCAGCTCTGTCACTAATTACACCTAATTTTCAGAATGGTACAAGACAAAATTAAAACATTATTGCCCCTTCTAAACAGTGATGGATAACAATGACTTAGTATTTGGACTAGGCTTTATAGGTATTACAAGAATCTGACCCATTTTGTGTTTATTTGACTAATATTACTGTGTTCTTTTCTAATGTGTTAGAAGGTCATTAAACTGACTATTTGGCTACTTTTAGTGAAATTAGTAGCTTGCAATATATGTTTAGTACCAGGATAAATACAGAGTTTCTAAATTTAAATAAAAATGTTTTCTTGAAGTTTAAAGCAAATGTTTAATATTTTTGCCCCTTGGAAAATATAAATTAATTTCACTTGCTGTGTGGTATACTTTTAGAAATATCCAGTAGAAAACGCCCTTTTCTAAGCTAATTAGAGTATATAGATGGTAGGCATCTTCAAATTTGTTGGAATAAAACAGTTGCAATAGTTTGATTCCTCTCCTGGAGAAAAAAAAAACTAGATTTAAAGCAGAAAAGATTCTCCATATCAAAGACTGTACAATGTATTAATCAGTTGTAGAGTAAATGCCATCCACAGTGAGACATTGCCATCAGTATAATTATTCATTTCTGTCCCTATTCTCGCCCTTGTCTCGAGGCAATTATCTTTCCACTTACTGTTTGCATATAACTAATCACTACTTAAAGTTCTAAGTGCTTCTAATTTTGTTGACTTTGTATTCTTTCTAGATATTTGTGCAAAGTTTAATAGAGGCAACCACTGAGCTGTCAAGTGCTTATTGATTTACGTACTGAGTGGTGCAGTTTTCCTTCTGTACTTGTTACATTTATGTTCTGCTATGTTCTTGATTGATGTTTCTTGGGGATAAGAAGCACAAATCCTGACTTGCTCTCTTAGTCTAGAACTTTATTAACAGATGTTACTGCTGGGAAAACCAGCCCCATACAATGGTAAGGGCATATCACCACCAGGCAGTACTGTAAAGCGTAGGTCATTCTGTAAGAATTATCATAGCCATGCAGTGGCTTGCCAAATAAGTACAAATCTGTCACACAGAAGTTGTTATTTTTCATTGTCTGGCAGACAAACTATTATTTGAAACTCCACAGAGCAGATAATGGTTATTTCTGGCGATTGTTTGATAAATTATTATTTTCCAGAGGTGTAGACTTGTATGCCTAAACTGTAACTGTAGTTTTATTCAAGTTAGCTATTTCCATGCCTGTTTCAATTGTTATCTTTAGATCTGTTTTTGTTTCTGAAGTATACACAAATATACTGTATTTATAATTGTGTATTTCAAATATACACAATTTAAAAATACTAATTTTGTGATTTGCAGTTTAATGTGGTACCTCATGTGATGAACTTATGCTGTTTCCAGCATTTTTCAGTTATCAGAAAGTGTAGTTGGGACAGTTCAGATTCCCACAGCGGAACTGTACCCTGGAGAATTCAGACCATCACAAGACCCACATAGAATTTAGACACTCCAGTTGACCTGGCCAGCAGGCCTTTGGAAGGTAAGAGAAAGCACCTGGAGAAAACGTGAACACAAGGGAAAATGCAAACTCCACATAGAAAGCTTCCCATTCATGAATCGAACCCAGGTCTGGGAAGAGGCAAGACCACTGTGGGGGAGTCGAGCCTATTCAGACCAGCAACAGGGTAAAGGCAGTCCATTGCAGAGCAAACATAGCCACACACACACACTCACGAGGGTCAGTTTTTCCAGAATTCAGTTAACCTGCCAGCATTGATTTTGACTGTGGGAGAAAACCAGAGGACCAAGAGGAAACCCACATGAACCTGGAGAGAACATACCAATTCCTCTCAGATAGCACCCCAGGAACTGAACCCAGGGCTTCAGAGCTAAAAGGCAGCAGTGCTAACCACTGTGCCACCCATTTTGAATAATTTAAATTTCAGTTTTATAGTGTGCATAAAAAAACATGCCTAGCCACAAAGCAAAATTATAATTTTGTGTTTTACAGTACAAAAGAGCAAGTTATCCTAATTTCCTCTGTCTTTCTCAGCTACAAGAGATAGAAAAAAATGTTGAGGTCATTTATTTGGATTGAATGATAATACTCACAGGAAAACAACAGGAAATAGCTCAAATGTTTGTACTTTTTAGTTTATAAATCTTCACTTGAAAATTTCAATAGGTTTGCTGCTGTTGTTTTTTGGTGAATGCTATGTTTAGATAGTTTATTTCCATTCTTTAATTTTAATCATGTTTTATCTCCTTGAAACATGGATAGGTTGTGTCCTGGCAGAAAGATTAGCAAATCAAGCTTTGTTTTGTCTTTCAAATAATTCCTTCATTAAGAGAACTTACAAATGTTTCCTGTTTGAGATTCTAAACCTTCTTAAGCGGTTTAGATTCATTAAGTGATCTAAAAAAAGTTTCTAAAAAAAATTGGCTGTCTTTTTTTAAATCTGCTGCCTTTTTAACCTTTTTATGCACAGCAACCTAGAAGTACAGAGAGGCAATGGCTGTCACATTGAAACATTGAATGCTGTCTGCTGTACTAAGCTGTTTTCTATCTTTGAGAATACGGCGAAGAAATGTGCCAACTTATTATTTGAAATAAGAGTACCTAAAAGGAATGAAACACTTTCTTTTCTCACTAAATCAGCTTATTGAATACAACTTTGGTATAACTCAAGATGGTTTAGAAATGCTGTGAAGATGCTCAATGTTGAATTTGGCATACAGTATATTGCTTGTACTTTTAACCCAATATTTATTTCTGTGTCTGCATAGACACACATCTTCCTATGCAATGGGTGTTTTCTAGGCTTTAGAGTGTTAAAATCTGGTCCTTTATTGACAATTTGAACCACTTTGTGAGCAGTGGACCATGAACTTTACGTTTTGGGCGTGTAAGAGGTTGTTGAAA